TGGGACACATATGGGTGTTAATGGTGTTCAGTCAATGTATATATCAGACAGAAAGAGATTTATCTTTTGGGACACATATGGGTGTTAATGGTGTTCAGTCAATGTATACATCAGACAGAAAGAGATTTATCTTTTGGGACACATATGGGTGTTAATGATGTTCAGTCAATGTATCTATCAGAGAGAAAGACATTTATCTTTTCGGGCACATATGGGTGTTAATGGTGTTCAGTCAATGTATATATCAGACAGAAAGAGATTTATCTTTTGGGACACATATGGGTGTTAATGGTGTTCAGTCAATGTATACATCAGACAGAAAAAGATTTATGGGACACATATGGGTGTTAATGGTGTTCAGTCAATGTATACATCAGAAAGAAAGTGATTTATGGGACACATATGGGTGTTTAAGGTGTTCAGTCAATGTATATATCAGACAGAAAGACATTTATCTTTTGGGACACATATGGGTGTTAATGATGTTCAGTCAATGTATATATCAGACAGAAAGACATTTATCTTTTGGGAGGGATATGGGTGTTAATGGTGTTCAGTCAATGTATATATCAGACAGAAAGAGATTTATCTTTTGGGACACATATGGGTGTTAATGGTGTTCAGTCAATGTATACATCAGACAGAAAGAGATTTATCTTTTGGGACACATATGGGTGTTAATGGTGTTCAGTCAATGTATATATCAGACAGAAAGAGATTTATCTTTTGGGACACATATGGGTGTTAATGGTGTTCAGTCAATGTATATATCAGACAGAAAGAGATTTATCTTTGGGACACATATGGGTGTTAATGGTGTTCAGTCAATGTATATATCAGACAGAAAGAGATTTATCTTTTGGGACACATATGGGTGTTAATGGTGTTCAGTCAATGTATATATCAGACAGAAAGACATTTATCTTTTTGGGACACATATGGGTGTTAATGGTGTTCAGTCAATGTATATATCAGACAGAAAAAGATTTATCTTTTTGGGACACATATGGGTGTTAATGGTGTTCAGTCAATGTATACATCAGACAGAAAAGAGATTTATGGGTTGGGACACATATGGGTGTTAATGATGTTCAGTCAATGTATATATCAGACAGAAAGACATTTATCTTTGGGACACATATGGGTGTTAATGGTGTTCAGTCAATGTATATATCAGACAGAAAGACATTTATCTTTTTGGGACACATATGGGTGTTAATGGTGTTCAGTCAATGTATACATCAGACAGAAAGAGATTTATCTTTTTGGGACACATATGGGTGTTAATGGTGTTCAGTCAATGTATACATCAGACAGAAAGAGATTTATCTTTTGGGACACATATGGGTGTTAATGGTGTTCAGTCAATGTATCTATCAGACAGAAAGACATTATATCTTTGGGACACACATATGGGTGTTTAATGGTGTTCAGTCAATGTATATATCAGACAGAAAGAGATTTATCTTTTGGGACACATATGGGTGTTAATGGTGTTCAGTCAATATACAGTCAGACAGAGAGAAAGAGATTTATCTCTTTTGGGACACATATGGGTGTTAATGGTGTTCAGTCAATGTATATATCAGACAGAAAGACATTTATCTTTTGGGACACATATGGGTGTTAATGGTGTTCAGTCAATGTATACATCAGACAGAAAGAGATTTATGGGACACATATGGGTGTTAATGGTGTTCAGTCAATGTATACATCAGACAGAAAGAGATTTATGGGACACATATGGGTGTTAATGGTGTTCAGTCAATGTATATATCAGACAGAAAGACATTTATCTTTTGGGACACATATGGGTGTTAATGGTGTTCAGTCAATGTATATATCAGACAGAAAGAGATTTATCTTTTGGGACACATATGGGTTTTAATGGTGTTCAGTCAATGTATACATCAGACAGAAAGAGATTTATCTTTGGGACACATATGGGTGTTAATGGTGTTCAGTCAATGTATACATCAGACAGAAAGAGATTTATCTTTTGGGACACATATGGGTGTTAATGGTGTTCAGTCAATGTATATATCAGACAGAAAGAGATTTATCTTTTGGGACACATATGGGTGTTAATGATGTTCAGTCAATGTATATATCAGACAGAAAGAGATTTATCTTTTGGGACACATATGGGTGTTAATGGTGTTCAGTCAATGTATATATCAGACAGAAAGAGATTTATCTTTTGGGACACATTGGGTGTTAATGGTGTTCAGTCAATGTATACATCCGACAGAAAAAGATTTATGGGACACATACGGGTGTTAATGGTGTTCAGTCAATGTATACATCAGAAAGAAAGTGATTTATGGGACACATATGGGTGTTTAAGGTGTTCAGTCAATGTAAACATCAGACAGAAAGACATTTATCTCTTGGGACACATATGGGTGTTAATGATGTTCAGTCAATGTATCTGTCATAGAGAAAGACACCTATCTTTAGGGAGGGATATGGGTTTTAATGGTGTTCAGTCAATGTATATATCAGACAGAAAGAGATTTATCTTTTGGGACACATATGGGTCTTAATGGTGTTCAGTCAATGTATACTTTAGACAGAAAGAGATTTATGGGACACATATGGGTGTTTATGGTGTTCAGTCAATGTATCTATCAGACAGAAAGAGATTTATCTTTTGGGACACATATGGGTGTTAATGATGTTCAGTCAATGTATGCATCAGAGGGAAAGAGATTTATCTTTTGGGAAACATATAGGTGAAAAGGGGTTCATTTAATGTATATATCAGACAGAAAGAGATTTATCTTTTGGGACACATATTGGTGTAAATGGTGTTCAGTCAATGTATATATCAGACAGAAAGACATTGATCATTTGGGACACATATGGGTGTTAATGGTTTTCAGTCAATGTATATATCAGACAGAAAAAGATTTATCTTTTGGGAGTCTATGGGTTTTTAATGGTGTTCAGTCAATGTATATATCAGACAGAAAGACATTTATCTCTAGGGAGTCTATGGGTTTTTAATGGTGTTCAGTCAATGTATATATCAGACAGAAAGACATTTATCTTTTGGGGCACATATGGGTGTTAATGGTGTTCAGTCAATGTATACATCAGACAGAAAGAGCTTTATGGGACACATATGGGTGTTAATGGTGTTCAGTCAATGTTTATATCAGACAGAAAGAGATTTATCTTTTGGGACACATATTGGTGTAAATGGTGTTCAGTCAATGTATATATCAGACAGAAAGACATTGATCATTTGGGACACATATGGGTGTTAATGGTTTTCAGTCAATGTATATATCAGACAGAAAAAGATTTATCTTTTGGGAGTCTATGGGTTTTTAATGGTGTTCAGTCAATGTATACATCAGACAGAAAGACATTTATCTCTAGGGAGTCTATGGGTTTTTAATGGTGTTCAGTCAATGTATATATCAGACAGAAAGACATTTATCTTTTGGGGCACATATGGGTGTTAATGGTGTTCAGTCAATGTATACATCAGACAGAAAGAGCTTTATGGGACACATATGGGTGTTAATGGTGTTCAGTCAATGTTTATATCAGACAGAAAGAGATTTATCTTTTGGGACACATATGGCTGTTTATGGTGTTCAGTCAATGTATACGTCAGAAAGAAAGAGATTTATCTTTTGGGAAACATATAGGTGAAAAGGGGTTCATTTAATGTATGTATCAGACAGAAAGAGATTTATCTTTTGGGACACATATTGGTGTAAATGGTGTTCAGTCAATGTATATATCAGACAGAAAGACATTGATCATTTGGGACACATATGGGTGTTATTGGTTTTCAGTCAATGTATACATCAGAAAGAAAGAGATTTATCTTTTTAGTCACATATGGGTGTTAATGTTGTTCAGTCATATGTATATCAAACAGAAAGAGATTCATCTTCTTGGACACATATGGGTGTTAATGGTGTTCAGTCAATGTATATATCAGACAGAAAAGGATTTATCTTTTTGGTGTTCAGTCAATGTATATATCATAGAGAAAGAGATTTATCTTTTGGGACACATATGGGTGTTAATGGTGTTCAGTCAATGTATATATCAGACAGAAAGAGATTTATCTTTTGGGACACATATGGGTGTTAATGGTGTTCAGTCAATGTATATATCAGACAGAAAAAGATTTATCTTTTGGGACACATATGGGTGTTAATGGTGTTTCAGTCAATGTATATATGATTTATCTTTGGGGACACATATGGGTGTTAATGGTGTTCAGTCAATGTATCTATCAGACAGAAAGACATTTATCTTTTGGGACACATATGTGTGTTAATGGTGTTCAGTCAATGTATATATCAGACAGAAAAAGATTTATCTTTTGGGATATGGGTTTTTATGGTTTTCAGGGTGTTAATGGTGTTCAGTCAATGGGTGTATATATCAGACATCAGAAAGACATTTATCTTTTGGGACACATATGGGTGTTAATGGTGTTCAGTCAATGTATATATCAGACAGAAAAAGATTTATCTTTTGGGACACATATGGGTGTTAATGGTGTTCAGTCAATGTATATATCAGACAGAAAAGATTTATCTTTTGGGACACATATGGGTTTTAATGGTGTTCAGTCAATGTATATATCAGACAGAAAGAGATTTATCTTTTGGGACACATATGGGTGTTAATGGTGTTCAGTCAATGTTTACATCAGACAGAAAGAGGTTTATCTTTTTGGACTCATATGGGTGTTAATGGTGTTCAGTCAATGTTTACATCAGACAGAAAGAGGTTTATCTTTTAAGACACATATGGGTGTTAATGGTGTTCAGTCAATGTTTACATCAGACAGAAAGAGATTTATCTTTTGGGGCCAATATGGGTGTTAATGGTGTTCAGTCAATGTATCTATCAGACAGAAAGATATTAATCTTATAGGACAGATATAGTTGTTAATCTTATGCAGTCAATGTGATTTCCAGTGTTGTTCAATGTGCGATACAATGCTCTAGGGGTCATTTCATTACCATCTGCGATGCTTGCTCTGTCTCTACTTGTAGTAACATCTTGGGAACTGCTTCGTACTTTCATAAAGTCGTTCGGTTCACTGTACAAAGATAGATGTATAGGCACAATTGTTAGATTATCAGCATTCACATTTTTATGTATATTGTCGACCACACACGTGTCTAATGTATGTTATACCACTAGGGTATGTTATGTCCATTGTTCTGGCAGGTTGATTTTCTGTGAATCAACCTTCTATCTGCACGTGCAGAGGTTGATATGTGGATAACAACCTTGGCGGTGCAGGAAACGCACGTGCAACAAGCAATGTACGAGTCCATTCGGCGCCCACGTGGTATAAGTAGGTTAGCATACACACACACACACACACACACACACACACACACACACACCCTCCCCTCTGCGGGTGATATGGATTCAACGCTCTCGCCCGACGGCTCGAGCGTTGAAATCCATATCACCCTTGAGAAGGGTGCTAACGTATACATACACAGTTTCTTACACTGCTGCGTTTATTCTCTGACAGAGACGTTGAAGCACATACCAGACAGCAACGTCCATTTTCCCGTCCAATCCATATTTGTAAGCTTCCAGATTTCCATTTTGCCATTTTACCTGCAAATTAAAAACATTTCAATGGTAACAGTGTAAAAGGGGTCACGCAATGCAGATATTGGATGGACAATTCACCAATACAAATGCGTGATCTTATCTTCAAATATTGCCTTGTCCCATACCTTCACAACACCATCCTCACGTTTTCTAATGACAACTCCGCTGCTCCCTTCTCCACCATCTTGATCTCCGTAGGACCAGTTCACTCCTACACGGGAACAGAACAAGGACAACCTAACACGTGGCTGTACAGAGGAAATTCATTGAAGTATCCCAACGATAAATATACATCTAAATGATAGTTCTACAACAATGACTGTCACTTAATGATTGTAAAAGCATGTCAAACCTCGTTTGACCCTGACTCCGATTTCTATGAATTCATCCTGCAGCAAGAAGCGTGGCTGGTCCTCTACTTCGACGACGTCCATTTTCCCATCATGGCCATAACTGTACCGGCAGCAGACGCCGTTGACGTCCCACAACACCCATAGCATATCTGCATTAAGTAATGGCGGTCGTAAGTAGGATGCCGTGATTTGAGGCTAATGCTTCTTCAAAATTTATGAGAGGTGTCGTTTTTAAATAATACAATCGGACGATTTATGATGAATATTTATTGTTGAGTTTCTGATAATGCTTTGATTTAGCTTTGGATTGTAAAAGATCATGGTCTTGAATAAATATGTTCTTACATCTGTCATTCGCGTGATTGACGATAGTCCCGGGTCCTTCACAGTCTTGGTTTTCATGCTGCCAATCAAGACCTCGGACAACTCGAGTACCAAGGGGAGGCAACTCACTCACTTCATGTACATTATGGAAGTCGGTAGGCTTTTCATCCGGATCTGGTACTTCGAAAAAGTCGAGTTTTTGTTGAACGCCTTGGATAACAAGATCCTGAAAGAGAAAAGATAAAGTTGTAATATTTAATATCGTACTAGTGAACCCAGGAAAATTATTATCTTACACTTGTCATATCTATAAACCTTTCATATTAACCCTTACCCTATCTTCTTCGTCCATGTCTCCAGTCAGAGCTCCGACAACCTGTTGAATTGTCTCTGGCGTTTCTTCGAACTTGCTGTTTTTCATATGGATGTAGATTTTACCTATGCTGTCCTGAAAAAAGATATGCACATTGTTTTAGAAACTTGCAATATACTGAACACACCGTCACTGCCAATATATTGTGAACACAGAGACCTAAATGCATCAAGATTAAACAGTATCAGAAGTGACCTAATAAAACAAGTCGACTGCGTCAAAACGTGAGCCCATTATGACGTAACTCAGAAGGTGTTCAATTTCGCAGGATGAATTACTATCGGCCCATTTGAGTTTTAGTATTTCAGAAAAGACAGTTTGTCATCAGGGAGTGAAAGACACACATCCTAAATTAAAAACACGCAAGAGTGGAGGCGCTTATACGAATGAAGTATTTCATAGAAATAATGCATTTGCATAGAAAATGTCTAACTTTTGTGTTAATTCCTTACCTGTAGCATGTAATGCTTGCAGAGACTTTCAATGTTCTTGCATGCCACAAATGTCCTATCGACAGGTTTTGACAACGCACTTAGGAAATGCTACAAACAGATCAGACGGCAGCATAAGTCCTAAGACTATTTTGACACAGATCGTATTTCAAAATGTATGCTTTGAATAGGAGAATATCAGAAAATATAGTCGTAAGAAAATATCTACGAGCCTTGCTCATAAAAGTATAATTGAGCTTTAACAATGTTAGAAAAATGTATTAAACTAAGAACTAAACCAGCGTTGAGTTACATACTCGGTCAGCGTTCCCTACTGCAACCCAAACCACTGGATCCGTTTCACGGGAACTAATGATATCGTTCAACTGTAGTATCTGAATCCGGGTCTGCAAAACAGAGATAACAACAGCTTAATGATGTTGAAGTGGGTGAGTGAGGGACTCTTCAACAATCAAGTTTAGTCAGATGTTCGAAAATATTTTCAGGGTTGAGGAGTAAGTGAAGGGAAGTGTTTCACCAACGTTTTGATTCACTTCCGTAAGGTCAGACCCTTCAACAACAGAGTCATCTGTGGCATATCCGTCAGTCAGGAAGATAATTCTTGGCTTGAGGTTGTGGACACCACCTATGCTTAGTGTTCCTCCTGTGCACAGTAACGAATTCAGCATTAACTTCAAATTCATATTACACAGGTATGACATTATAGGCAACTCTAAACAACTTTTTTCTACTCCACGTAAGCTATGTATTGGAAGCACATACTTTGACTAAGAAATAGTCTACAATACTATGTATAGGTAGTATACTGGGACTCTCTATTATCGCGGCACGCGAAAACATCGGGAAAGCAGAAACACCACGCCCCGCATCAGCTGTTTACAGATGCAAATTACGTAAAATATATTCATCGATCTTGAAAAAGTCATTTATTTAATTGGATTGGTTTAATCGTAGAAATATTAAAGCATTCACCTTTTCAGTAAGTTCTGTAACATTTTGAAACTATTATGACCCCAGCTGCCATTACATCTAGCATGAATCAAACGTTACTTCGTCAAGAGTAATCCTGTGACAACTTTAAGGTCATTTGCATATTTTCCATGCTAAAAATATAACAGGCAGTGACGTATTATGCAACTTCACTCTACACACGGCAGCAACTTGTATAGTACGTTTTAAGGCGGAAAAAAATAATTTCTAACGTTATTGTTACCTTGTAGCCAAATGAATAGAAGTTTCACATGTTTGGGTTAAAAACATGACGATATTACTAATGTGAATGAAATTCCTAATATTTTTTAATGATCAAACTATTTAGATTTGTTACTTGTCTTAGTAAACGTTTCACAGTGTCATCTGCTTGTACCGCCTGCCATACTAAGAAACGGTCTACGAAGCTATGTATTGGAAGCACATACTGATACTAAGGAATAGTCTACAAAACCATGTATTGGTAGCACATGTTGATACTAAGAAATGGTCTATAAAACTATGTATTGGTAGCGCATACTGATACTAAGGAATAGTGTACAAACTATGTATTGGTAGTACATACTGATACTAAGGAATAGTATACAAAACTATGTATTGGTAGCGCATACTGATACAAAGGAATAGTCCACAAAACTATGTATTGGTAGCACATATTGACACCAAGGAATAGTCAACAAAACTATGTATTGGTAGCACATATTGATACTAAGGAAAAGTCTGCAAAACTATGTATTGGAAGCACATACTGATACTAAGGAATAGTCTACAAAACTATGTATTGGTAGCACATCCTGATACTAAGGAGTAGTCTACAAAACTATCTATTGGTAGCACATGTTGATACTAAGGAGTAGTCTACAAAACTATTTATTGGTAGTACAGGTTGATACTAAGGAATAGTCTACAAAACTATCTATTGGTAGTACATGTTGATACTAAGGAATAGTCTACAAAACTATGTATTTGTAGCGCATACCGATACTAAGGAATAGTCTACAAAACGATGTATTTGTAGCACATCCTGATACTAAGGAATAGTCTACAAAACTTTGTATTGGTAGCACATATTGACACTAAGGAATAGTCTACAAAACTATGTATTGGTAGCACATATTGATACTAAGGAATAGTCTACACAACTATATATTGGTAGTACATACAGATGCTAAGGAATAGTCTACAAAACTATGTATTGGAAGCACATACTGATACTGAGAAATAGTCTACAAAACTATGTATTGGAAGTACATACTGATACTAAGGAATAGTCTACAAAACTATGTATTGGAAGTACATACTGATACTAAGGAATAGTCTACAAAACTTTGTATTGGTACCAAATCCTGATACTAACAAATGGTCTACAAAACTATGTATAGGTAGCACAAGCTGATACTAAGATATGTCTTTTAATGAACTGAGTTCCCCTGCATGCATATATGAACATCTCGTCTTGAATTTTCCTTTCCAAGTTGGGTTTTATTTGAAAAAAGTCACCATGGTTTTGATAAACATGTTTCACGGATGAATTGTCTAAAACGTGGCATTACATATACGTATACGTACCTTTCTCTTTAATAGCAGCAATGCAAACCACCAAAGCTTCGAAAATAGGACTTCTTCCTCCCATGAAGAGGTCATCTGGAAATGAAGGCTGAATGCAATGATGCCGTTGTGGCTTCAAAAGTGATTTGTGATCATATTTCATTGCTAATTGCTAATCACTATAGTGTGTTATAATGTGTTGTTAGTATCGATTTTATCATGTTTGGTAATGACTGTTTAAATAATGTCTCACTGGATAATTCAGTGGGAAACCAAACCAAAACAAATGTTAATAAACTGTGTAGATGCAATTAACCTTTGAATCAGGAACTGACAATATCTCAGTATCAATGCAAATTACTGCATAGTAAACACATGTATGGAAGTAGAGAAACATCTTGATTGCGTCTTCAATACTAGCCTATGCGGTATATCAAGGTTGAAAATAATGGTCTGCACCGAGTAAGATGAGAGATAACAGAGGCACGCGTCTGACAACTTTATTTAATTGAACAGCTTCCAGAAGTTCATTACTATGCCCGATGAGCCTAAATGAAGCCATTTTCTAAACTCTGATGACAGTCTTCTGACTCTTAGCAGACGCAAGTGTTATACTATTACAAGTTGACACACTTTCACGAATACATATTTTACCACTTTTCTTGTTTACGATCATATCTGATAATAGTTTTTGCTAACAGTTGCAATAAAATACAATAATGTGTCATTAGATGTTCGCCAAATGGTTGTAACAATGGTGTATTCTGTAGTATTGAGAATCGGCAAATAATATCTCGACCAAGGACAGTTTGAAGGACAGCCGACCAAGTTGTTTAGATGTCATCTGTCTATGTTGTTGTGTAGAGTTGCGTCTCTCAACTGAAAGGATCTAAAGAGCATGGGTTGGTGCTACAGACTGATCCCATTACGATCCTAAATCTCCGCAATAATTGTCCAATATTTCACAATTTAGGTAAACTCCTACAACCTTGGCCCATTCCTGCTATTAAGGTATTACTTGACCGCCTATTGAGCTATATCCAGCTATTATTTCCCTACTCTTAACTATTATTTTCCTGCTACTAAGATGACCTATATATATATGTGTTATGCCTGACTAACCGCTCACACATCTCATTCCTTACCGATTGCGTCTCTAATAGCGGTGTAGTCATTGGTCAGTTGTCTGACCACCCTGGCACCTCCTCCCATTACGACCAAGGCCAGATTCTCCTCCAATCCGTGCTTCTCCGCCATCGCCTCTATACCTAAAGCCATGTTATGGAAATTTGGCACGACAGTAAGTTTTTGGTAGCAGTAGGTAGCATGAGTGATTAAGAATAACATATATTGATGATATACAGTACTGTTGTTGGTTGAACTCATTAAGGACAGCTGCAGGAATACCTCATACTGAGCATGTAAAGTCTTCTAGGTTCTAGGCAAATACGTGTGTGTGTATGTGTTATTATCTTACGTTGCCATGGGGATTACAAATGTCAGAGGGGTACAAGTCTTATGTAAACTGTCATTTGCCAGATGTCTATGTTATGGAAACCGAATTGGCTCAGCGGATTAGATGGCAAACTTTGTGTACTGGCGATTGGGTGCCTCTGAGAGTGTGGGTTCGAATCTCTGATCAGTAGTTCACTGAGAAAATGGGTCGGTGGGGTAGCATTCGCTCGTGACATGTTCGATTCCATGTTCGATGGGTACAATGTGTGAAGCCATTTCGGGTGTCGCCCGCCGTGATATTGGTGGAATATTGCTTAAAGCGACGTGAAATCAAACTCACTCTCTCACTCACTGAGAAAGTGTAATTCTCAATATAGCATATGCCACATTTGCCTATATCACCACTGACAACCATATACAACATAATTACTGACCATCTACAAACTTGTGTGCTGCTTGCTTCACTTCCTCAAACCCTTCTTGTCCCAAGCTCTCAGAAACGTCCAAACACAACACGCTGTCCTGTGCCTTAGCTTTAGGTGGCTTTGGGTCTTCTGAAAATGTGAGAATGTGTAGTTTCATAGCCAAGTCCATACACACACACATACATACACACACACATACATACACACACACATATACATACATATATATTTCAAAAGAAACGTATTCATATGTATATTAAAGATGCAAAAACTAATGAATACTGACTTATCCCAGTCAAGGTATGATAGCTTACCTTGTTCTAATGCAACAGCAACAGAAATTGCTAGACGGTTGACTCTGGGGTTATGTTGATCCTGCCCTGCGCTATAGACCTGCAGGTTGTTTAACAACATTTCTGCGCGTTCATAGTTCTCTGAAAGGGATTTGTATTGCTTAGTAAATACACAGATTATATGTTGTGTTAGATATCGGAACGGCATCACGTATTGTGCGAGTGTTGTGTTGTAGTAATGTCGATAAAACAATTACAGGATTACAAGCAAACTTTGGACAATCGAGTAAGCAAATTTAGACATGTACAAAAGTAAAAGTAAAAATAGATGTCGTATTTCCAAACCTATGTATGTAAATTGCATGTAACTATTTCAAATGGCTGATATCGAGATTTTAAAAAGTAAACGATTACTTGCTATTGCCTGATCAAGTCTGTTCTGTTGTCGTGTGTGTTCCGGGCTGAAAAAGGCATAGCCAACATCAAATATGATTGATAGCTATCATTTTAAAATAAAACGTGAAAGAGGGGTAAAATCTAAAACACCATTCTTAGATCGGTGATCCCAGAGCTCACATTCAGATTGGAGTACATACATTTCCCTTAAAGATTCTTTTCCGGTGATGTCCTCTTTTCGTTGTATTTTATCTCTTTGATCCAGTGGTTTGGATTCAGCATGTGATGGTTCCGTTTGGTCATGTTGGTCTGAAACTTCCGTCATCAAATTTGTTTTACCACAGGACACCCTTGATCTGATAGAAATAGAAAGGATCGGAAATCATCCTGTGAAAGTAAGCAAATACAAGCGGACATCGTGAAATCGTCATGCTCAATGTCAACGTATAGTTGGTCCTGCTCTCAGTTTGACTTTCTGATATTAATACCCGGTTCAGGTCACAATGCAGATATGCGTGTCAAAATTCGTTTGTCGGAATCTTCCTATGGTTTGTATTCCTAATTATACATTTGTTTCATAAGCATCAGTATGGTCTCAACCTCTGGGATTTCAGATATCGAAAATTGTTATATATTGACGCCAGTTCGCACACCTAATTATGAAAACTGATACCCATTATCGAGTGGGTTGACTGAATGGCGTTTACCTCTACTGTTCGCATACTAACACCATGCCACCATCATCTGTTGTACTTCACCTCAAGTGATCCTTTCTAAACATTTGTTGATGGTTTGGTGTATATCTTTGTCATACTAGCCCCATGCCACATTATCTGTTGTACTTCACCTCTAGTGATCCTTTATAAACACTCCTAGACGATTTGGTGTATATCTAGGTTATACTACCCCATGTCACCATCCTCTGTTGTACTTCACCTCTAGTGATCCTTTATAAACACTCCTAGACGATTTGGTGTATATCTATGTTATACTACTCCATGTCACCATCCTCTGTTGTACTTCACCTCTAGTGATCCTTTATAAACACTCCTAGACGATTTGGTGTATATCTATGTTATACTACTCCATGTCACAATCCCCTGTTGTACTTCACCTCTAGTGATCCTTTATAAACACTCCTAGACGATTTGGTGTATATCTAGGTTATACTACCCATGCCACCATCATCTGTTGTACTCCACCTCTAGTGATCCTTTCTAAACATTTGTTGATGGTTTGGTGTATATCTTTGTCATACTAACCCCATGCCACATTATCTGTTATACTCCACCTCTAGTGATCCTTTATAAACACTCCTAGACGATTTGGTGTATATCTAGGTTATACTACCCCATGTCACCATCCTCTGTTGTACTTCACCTCTAGTAATCCCTTTATAAACACTCTTAGACGATTTGGTGTATATCTAGGTTATACTACCCATGCCACCATCATCTGTTGTACTTCACCTCTAGTGATCCTTTCTAAACATTTGTTGATGGTTTGGTGTATATCTTTGTCATACTAACCCCATGCCACATTATCTGTTATACTCCACCTCTAGTGATCCTTTATAAACACTCCTAGACGATTTGGTGTATATCTAGGTTATACTACCCCATGTCACCATCCTCTGTTGTACTTCACCTCTAGTAATCCCTTATAAACACTCTTAGACGATTTGGTGTATATCTAGGTTATACTACCCATGTCGCCATGATCTGTTGTACTCCACCTCTAGTGATCCTTTCTAAACATTTGTTGATGGTTTGGTGTATATCTTTGTCATACTAACCCCATGCCACATTATCTGTTATACTCCACCTCTAGTGATCCTTTATAAACACTCCTAGACGATTTGGTGTATATCTAGGTTATACTACCCCATGTCACCATCCTCTGTTGTACTTCACCTCTAGTAATCCCTTATAAACACTCTTAGACGATTTGGTGTATATCTAGGTTATACTACCCATGTCGCCATCATCTGTTGTACTCCACCTCTAGTGATCCTTTCTAAACATTGGTTGATGGTTTGGTGTATATCTTTGTCATACTAGCCCCATGCCACATTATCTGTTATACTCCACCTCTAGTGATCCTTTATAAACACTCCTAGACGATTTGGTGTATATCTAGGTTATACTACCCCATGTCACCATCCTCTGTTGTACTTCACCTCTAGTAATCCTTTATAAACACTCTTAGACGATTTGGTGTATATCTAGGTTATACTACCCATGTCGCCATCATCTGTTGTACTCCACCTCTAGTGATCCTTTCTAAACACTGGTTGATGGTTTGGTGTAGACATTTGTCATACTAACCCCATGACACCATCTTCTGCTGCACGTGTGTCAACGAAAGGCCCAGGCGCAGATAAGGTTGCTGGTGCCACAGGTATATCTGGTACTGGAACTATAGAAGTATCTAGACTGTACTTCTCCGGTAGTATAATGGTCGTCAGCTGTTCTTCTGTCTGACTCATTGGTGTGAACTTCGACGCGTGAGTTTCGCTGAGGACCTTGTCCGACATTTTCTGCAGTATGTTCTTCATTTCAGACACTGCCTCTCGAAGCTGCTTCAGTTCCATCTCAATACCGTCAATCCTGCTACTCGGTATGTGTGACTCGCTTCTGTCATCCGATGGATAATTCCCACTGGGTTCTTTAACAGAAGTATGCATGTGGAACAAAATCGATATCTAGTACCCCAAATTCGAAACATGTATTCTACATATATATACACTTATATTTTATATAAGAGTGCCCATATTTTTCAAATTGGAAACATATTTAACAAAAGTGCCGTGATTTGAGGAAGTCACCAAAAATTCCTTACCCTCAACCGAACTTTGAATCCATTGTCGTGACCCGACATCCCTTGAAAATCAAAGAACATAGTTGACACAGATCACACCCTGTTGTAAGTGTCTAGGGACATGTCTGGATTGCTGCCGTAGAGCACCGAACGCTCGGGATGTATATAGTTAACTGTACATGCATATTGTTCCCCAAGCCTTCTGTTTGAAAGTCCAAAGTCCCGAGGTCTTGCATCAGTTGCTAATACTACCGATTAATTTAACCTTATAAGTAAAACTGACAATCTTAATGATAATGATTGATATATTTTACGAACTGAATATGCACATAGTTTAAAAGGAATTGTCTTTTCATTTAATGTGTTAATGCCGTTTTATGGACAAAACAATGATGTATAACGATAGACCAGGTGTCCATTTGTAACAAACGTTTAACGATTTATTCATTGTTGATAATAAAATCAATTTATATTCGAAAGAAAAGATTGTGATGACATGATAGCTAACCGTAACTTTATTTCTATTCTACAAGAATGATAAAAAATATATTTGAGCCATGACACATCTTCCTTTGGACAAACCTTACATCAATATTTTGATATCTTCTTGGATCGATCCTTGTATATTTATGAGGAGCAATAGCCAAATAGACAAATCCTATCCTAAAACATATATTTGTGTTATGAAATATTCTTCTTTACGTACGTTAATTTGATGCCAAAACAGGTGCGATACACATTCAAACCATTAATTGTTCCGGCGAGGAGATAACTCACAACCGTAACTACGGACATCATCGAGTTTCCTGCACTACAGTTCAGCCTTAGTTAACGTTGCCGCTAAATACCCTCCCAGAGTTAAGGTTGACCAAAGGTAGCTTTGTGCAACGGACGTAACGTTTTGTTAAGATTACATTAAGGTTAACCATAGTCGCTCAATCCAACCTCAGCAAAGGTTGTTTTGTACAACGGTCCCCTTGAAGTCGACAATAACGTATCCAGTTTACTTCATGCAATAAAAAAGGAAACGTGTTGTGCCTACCTTGTCAGAAAAGCAATGCAAAAGGACACACAGTATATGCGTAATTGAACGTTGGAATTGGCTACAGAACAGGTTATATCCCTTAATTTCCATGCACGTATAGATTTAATACATGCAGCGGAACGCGTTTGCAAATTGTACTGATTTCTGTTGAACATTGCTATCATACAATATAAAGAAAGGGGTAAAGATTTCTTACCTTTCAGCAGACAGAGCAAACTTAACCTCCCTGTTGCCAATATTTCCGATGAGTTGCTGGAAGATCTTGTTTATCTCGTGTTTCTTCTCGATCATCTTATCTGCATCATTTCTGTTTCTGTGCATGAACACAAATATCAAACTTCCACCAAGTAAAGCTGACAGCAGGGCGTCGTGCTCTTGATATATTCGTTCGATGATCTCTCGGCGGAGAGGATCAAATATGTCTTTGGAGATCTCCTGCAGAATCGCACTCTTACATCCCTTGAAAACTGACAATACATTCACCTTCCACTTCGTGATGCAGGCTTGGGAGACGTCTATGTTTCCTTTCCAATTCAGCCGTAGCAGTGGTTGTTCCGACCCTGAAACTGATATTGACATTTGGGGGGGTGAAGGTGTCATTGTTCCCTTCTTAGAATGTCGATGAGATACATTTACACATAGCGAGGTACGACATTTGGCTGGAAATTGTCATCCTGATAGCGTGGTTCACAGTAGTAGATTCACCACACATACATACAATTATGACTTCCTACTGTGTTGATAGGTTTTGAACGCTAATACCTCCCTTGTATAAGCACACTACCGTTACCCTCTACATACACAAATGATAAATCATTAATGAGCCAATTCAAAATATAATCATTAATATGGAAAATGTAACTCACACGTCAGACTTCCACCTTTGTCTTTGATGGCGTCCAAGAAGTCCCGGGTGACGTTGATGGTGTAGGCTGTACAAATGTTTCCCATTTGGAGAATGGAATGTGTTGACGTTGATATGATATTATGGTCCGTGTAGTTAGTATACGTCACGTCGGTGTTGCTGGCTTTATGTGATACCTTCTTTGCCATTTTGATTGTATATATACCAAGTAATGTAACAATAATTCACTTCCGGTCACTCGTTATCAGGTATGAGAGGTATGGTTATGACACGTAACATATGGTATATTTGGGATTACACTTTCTCAGTAAAGTACAGATTTTGTACATTTGTTGGGTAGAGTCCCATCCGGGATTCGAACCCACACCCTCAGAGTCAGGCACCTAATCGCCAGCACACAAAGTCAGCCGCCTCACCCGCTCATGCGTGAATACTGTAGGGATCAGGTAGGAAGCAGCAGTTTATCTGTTACGCATTTTCTCCATGGTCATCTAAATTATTACAAGTCAAATATTTTATTTCATATATAAATCATATTTAAATGTGTTTATTTGACAAACACATGGTGTAAATAATCAAGACTTAAGCAGACAAACCAGTGATTGATATTGTGATCAACGTCTCGGGGACGATGATATTCTGTCCACCATATCGCCATGACATCTATCCATTCTATCGATTGTCGCGACATGGATTGCTGATGATCTAACTTCACCCGGGGTCTGGTTGACACGGCATTCAAGTGGACTGACGAGCGGTGTTTCGCGTCACACCGGCTACAGATAGTGGTTGATCAGTCACTGTGCCTGGTGTTCGGCATTAAGTGCTCAAAACAAGGACTGCTATACTGTGTCTGACTAATGGTAGTTCGTTCTTAAATCCCATTTATCAGCTGATATTGACCTTGTCTAACCCCAAAGGATTTCTACTGACTGTAACCCATGTGGATCCGGGTTAGAATCGATCTTCAGTAACTAATGCTTGTCGTATGAGGCGGCAAACGGGATCGGGTTGTCAGGCTCTCTGACCTGGTTGACACATGCCATCGTATGGAAATTGCGTAGATTGATGCTCATTCTGTTGATGACTGGATTGTCTGGTCCAGTATCGATTATTTACAGTTGTAAAACTAAATTCACTCACACACTCTACTGACTGTGGCAAACAGTTAACTTACTAACTGCATGCACATGTAGGTTAGTGACGATTGTTATAATCCCAGTTATACCAAGGACAGAAAACACAGAGTTATAACAGGTGTATCAGGAAGCAAATAACAGATTGTCACGTGAGAGGTTACACGGCTAAAAGGCTATAACCCTACATGTATTGTACAAGTAATGTCGCTGTAGATTTTAATATATGTGTATATTTGTGTGTGTACGTGCGCGTGTGTGTGCGTGTGTTTGTGTTGTATCAGCTTACACAATAGTGCTCTGTAAACGGTATTGAGAGGAGAACAGATCTTCCTTTTAAATGTGCCAATATACGAAATGACAAATATTTTCGTGGGACATCGGGTGACTAGTCTTTGTTTAGATAGGACGCGTGATGTCCTTATTAAATACAGATTGACAACATTATGTTTCAAGTAGATATTCGGTCATATCGTTCACTTTTACTTCCTGGTTATGTATATCAAAACCACCCAATACACATTCATGTATGAAAATTAGATCCTCATAAGTATCTAATAAATATGATCAGTATCATAAAAACGAATTAAACAAAGCACTAACTAGCTGCTTGTGGCTATGGCTACTTTTCGTTTGAACAACAGATTTGGACATCTCTCACCTCCTCAATATGTCACTGATGATGTTAATATGGGTCGTTATATTCCAGTCTCACCTCGTTGTTAAGCAGGACATAATATTCTCCCATACAACATCCTGGAGTGTAAATAGAAATAAACAAGTGGAAAACGATACTACATTCCTCTTGGGAAACCCTTGACTAAAAATAGATAGTTAAGTTGGATCTATATATAGATGCGATAACGTATTGGCGGGAGTGGAATACCTGTTGACTCAATGAGAGAGAGAGAGAGAGAGAGAGAGAGAGAGAGAGAGAGAGAGAGAGAGAGAGAGAGAGAGAGAGAGAGAGAGAGAGAGAGAGAGAGAGAGAGAGAGAGAGAGAGAGAGAGAGAGAGAGAGAGAGAGAGAGAGAGAGAGAGAGAGAATTTACATTTTGCTTTTCTTCATTTACCATAATGATTTATTAATAAAGGTTATCATCACACTTCCAGGTGGAGTTTGTAACTTTGGTGGGAGGACAACTGTGCCCCCTCGACTTATCCTCATAACAGACGGACTGACAATTGGGAAAGTGGATCAAGTGGACAAAAGTCATGTAAGAAAAAAACTATATTTTTTATCTGTCATATCCTATGAGGATACAAAATATTGCATTCTAAGATCTACATGTATATTTGAATCTATAAAACAGGTCTAAAGGTGTTGATTACTGATTATCAACCAAATTGCCATTCCTAATAATTCGCCAAATTCCTTTTCTGAGCACATCAACCTATTTAGGAATGATTTCTTCAAATAACATGTCTACTTGCGTCCCACGTTATTAGACTTGGTTTACATCATTCGTTTGTCACCAGAAGGTGGAACTATTTTATACTGCTCTGGACCAGAGAGAGAGAGAGAGAGAGAGAGAGAGAGAGAGAGAGAGGGAGAAAGCGAGAGAGAGAGAGAGAGAGGAGAGGGAGGAGGAGAGGGAGGGAAGGAGAGAGAGAGGGAGAGAGGGAGGGAAGGGAGAGAGAGGAGAGGGAGAAAGAGAGAGACAGAGAGAGAGAGGGAGGAGGGAAGGGAGAGAGATGGGGGGAGGAGGGAGAGAGAGAGAGGGGAGTGAAGGGGGACCTTATGTATGAGAGAATATCGCAGTCACAGCGACGTACAAAAGGTACATGGGCTCCTTATACCTTGTTATTGTTATTTATCGACATCGTCTGTCTGGTTGGAAACACGACTGGACGGAATATACCGAATGAGCTCCGAATACATACTACATTTCGAAAGGTACTGTATATAGTAGTTACTGCAATACGATTGACAATAGTGTCTTTGAATTACACTTCAAATGGTTCTGCCCATGTGAATAGAACTTCAATTTTATTGTATGCCTATAATGTATCAGAGTATGTACGGATATAGGAATACATAGACACTGCGAACATACAAATAGACACGTGTATTGACATTAAAATTAGCTCACAAAGTCATGCATAAGAAACTATGTACCTTTATGAAGACCTTTTTGATCATGTAAACGTGTCCATGATTACAGATTGCCATGTTGGTAGCGTTTAATTAGCTCAAATAGATAGTGGTTGAATTTACAAAGGGACAAGAAGAGGTATTGAAAGTTCGATTCAGTCATTCCTAAAGTATGTTAAAAGCATATCATCATTATTTTCTGTAGTTACTCAAAGCGACCTTGACACCAGCATGAAAAGCGAGGTTGATATATTGTATGAAGACGATCGAATCTGATGTCACCACGTAAAGGCTTAGACTATTAAAAAACGTTTTCCACACGTTTCTAAACAAGGGGTTTGGGATGTGCTTCCCAGGAGAGTTATTCTGGCTATGTAAAATGGACTAGATGACGACTGACTTTTCCCGGAAAAAGTATATGACTTTAGATGTTAGTCCTCTTGTAGTTCAGTTAACACTGTTGTTCACACAACAACATATGGTATATCTGGGATAACTAAACAATAACATGTGTTGCATTTAACTACGCTGAGAAAGGCATTGTGTATTCAAGCAATTCACAACTAGATTGTTATATACTTCATGGATCAAATAGATGAATAATGGTGGTTGCCATTCCACTGATGACATGCACGTCACTACTATTGTCCAAAACAAGACTATTAGTTGTTGGATAAAGAAACAGACGAAGAATAAAATGTACAAATATAGTTTATTTACCAACAAACAAATGAAATATACCTGGCAACGTCTGTAACAATAATCTGTAACATTACATTTTCTCTGAAAGATAACATCATATTCGCACTCATCTGACCACTAATGTTTGCCTAAACTACTCACCTTAAGAAAAGAAACTACTCTTCCTTCCTGAATTATAGAATCCTTCTGTCCTTCTAGAAATCATAAGATCTAGATGGTACATATTTAGGCAAAATATACTTTGTTCAAAACATTTAATACACCCATCTTATCTTAACAATAGTTTAGTTATATATTCGTGTATTCATTTGCCTTGTTTAGCCCAAAGGTTATGATGTCGGAAATGTAATATGACTGTCAGTCGACACCATGGGACAAATATTCCGCCTCGGCAACATCAAATGTCATTAAATGGAGACTACGAAGATTACAAAGGCGTATGCTAAAAGAAACTTTTGGTTGGATGGATTACTTTATCTTCCTTCCGCACTGTAGGTTCAAGCTATACCATTAATGGTATGTTAATATACATTAACATTAACTTACGACTATCTTAGCGCTAAGAGAGCTTCGAAAATCTAGGCCCTGATTCAGAAAACTTGCAACCAAAGAGTGTGTCAGGCCCAACAATTGATAGGGACCATTTTGTGAACGATGGGCATGTGCAAGCAGTTGTTTCAACCCACTCTTTGTTTGGGTTAAATCAGTGAATTCCTTGGTCTCTATTATATTCTTCTTAGCATTGTCATTAATCACAAAATATATTGAGCACATTACACATACACATAATCTTACATATGGGTCGATTGTTGTGAAATTGTAACGTTGAAGGATACATCCTGGGAGCGAAATATTTTGATTTAATGCGTATGTGGATCAGGTTGCAAAATCTCATCTCAAAATGTATTTGATCAATGTCTGTCAACGTCAGCTACATCTGCGTACGCACATACACCATTACAGACATATCATTGTGGATATATGCCTTGTATACGACGTACATGTAGACATGTACCCATGTATATATACACACATACACCATTATAGACATATCATTGTGGATATATGCCTTGTATACGACGTACATGTAGACAGGTACCCATGTATATGTACACACATACACCATTATAGACATATCATTGTGGATATATGCCTTGTATACGACGTACATGTAGACAGGTACCCATGTATATATACACACATACACCATTATATACATATCATTGTGGATATATGCCTTGTATACGATGTACATGTAGACAGGTACCCATGTATAAATACACACATACACCATTATAGACATATCATTGTGGATATATGCCTTGTATACGACGTACATGTAGACAGGTACCCATGTATATGTACACACATACACCATTATAGACATATCATTGTGGATATATGCCTTGTATACGACGTACATGTAGACAGGTACCCATGTATATATACACACATACACCATTATAGACATATCATTGTGGATATCCAATGATCGAGGGAAAAAATACCAGCGCCTTGAGCATGCACTAGTGCGTGGATATGTGCGCTATATAAATATTCTATTACATTACATATATGCCTTGTATACGACGTACATGTAGACATGTACCCATGTATATGTACGCACATACACCATTATAGTCATATCATTGTGGATATATGCCTTGTATGCGACGTATATGTAGACATGTACCCATGTATATGTACGCACATACACCATTATAGACATATCATTGTGGATATATGCCTTGTATGCGACGTACATGTAGACATGTACCCATGTATATGTACGCACATACACCATTATAGACATATCATTGTGGATATATGCCTTGTATGCGACGTACATGTAGACATGTACCCATGTATATGTACGCACATACACCATTATAGACATATCATTGTGGATATATGCCTGGTATACGACGTACATGTAGACATTTACCCATGTATATATACACGTATTTGTTGACATTGAGTGCGACGTTGCAACAAATAGAAAATAAGCTCTCCCTCAAGATATCTGATTTCGGTGCCAAGTAAGTGTCAACGCTTGGTGTATGCGTCGTCTCGGGAATTAGCTCATGTTTAAGATTAAGTGTACGTGCAATACATTGATAAGACGAAGGGTACGTTGAGTTCAAACTTCTTTAGTTACATGACAAGCAAATACACAAGACATAAAATGTGGTGAGCGGAGTACCTGCTCAACCCCAGGACGGATCCTACGAGCGGCATTATCCTGCTCGCGGTCGTCCTTACACAAGCAGGCGGTATACCGGACTCGACTCCTTCACTGTCTAGATGTGAGCATACTAAGTATATATACAGTTTTTGACAACAATGGACAGGCGACGACGCATCAATGGACAGGCAGAAAAACAATAGCACTTCCTTGACCAGTTGATGGGATGGCAGACACGGCCAAGGGGGATTACCAATGAAGGTTATAAAAAGCTTATACAATAATTATTGGGCCTACAAGTCAATGTACAATGCGGTAATGATAAGGATGTACAGTAGTGATTAAGAATACAGGTTAGCGTCATATAAATTATTACAATAAAGTCTCACATATCTGGACTACATAGGTTATGGACTTTTAAAATATTTGGACGATGACTGTCCTGAATGAGTCACTATAACATAAGCAATCTCTCATAATTCACGTTTTTATTAAGTGTTAAAATCTTTTTAAGGTAGTAAGCTATATTTAGCAAGTAGAGATGCAACAATGTATTAAGAGTAGAAAGTAGGCAATAATATTATCGTAGTGTAAGAAAGCTGTAATTAAAATATTAAAAAAGCGAGACTATCTTAGATCGCCCTAAATTTGATATTCCACGCAAATATCATATTCAGATCAAATGTGCAGATTATACAAAAAGGACAAAGTCTCATGTAGATAACTGGGACGCATTGTTTTGTCGTTGTAACCAGCTGTGGGCAGACACTGACGTTAACGTAGCATACCATCAATTTCCTGCGAGCTGCCTCACATTTCATCATAGACAACTGTTCTTCAATGACTCACATCTAAAACTATCAGGAAGGTGGAATCACTTCTCGTCAACACCTGCAAATAAATGCAAGATAAAAATTAAAAGTCAACCAGGATTTAATTTAGATTTTGTTCGGAAATACATGCAGTGAGCAAAACAAATATCACTTACATGTTCTCTTGACTTCTCTTCTGGATTCATTATTTAAATCCTTCTCAAACATTTCCTTGAAGAGTACTCTGTAAGTACTCTGTAGCTGTAAATACCAGTACATATAAGTTATAGTTAACGTTAACGTTATAGTCTCTGGCAATACCAGTACATATACGTTAAAGTTATAGTCTCTGGCAATACCAGTACATATACGTTAACGTTATAGTCTCTGGCAATACCAGTACATATACGTTAAAGTTATAGTCTCTGGCAATACCAGTACATATACGTTAACGTTATAGTCTCTGGCAATACCAGTACATATACGTTAACGTTATAGTCTCTGGCAATACCAGTACATATACGTTAAAGTTATAGTACATTTCTGGCAATACCAGTACATATACGTTAAAGTTATAGTCTCTGGCAATACCAGTACATATACGTTAACGTTATAGTCTCTACCAGGCATATACCAGTTATATGGCAATACCGTTATACGTTATAGTCTCTGGCAATACCATATACATATACGTTAAAGTTATAGTCTCTGGCAATACCAGTACATATACGTTAACGTTATAGTCTCTGGCAATACCAGTACATATACGTTAAAGTTATAGTCTCTGGCAACTTAGTTAAGTGGACATAAATGTGGAAATGAGCTTCTGGACGTACAATTCATGATAGTTATCACAATCATGTACGTGTATTCGTTGTATATGAATGTGTGTGATTGTGTATGCATCCATATATTTACACTTTTGCGCATACGTGTGTGGGAGATTTATGTGTGTGTAAGTACATGTGTGGATGTGTATGTATGTATGTGTGTGTGTATATATGTGTGTGTGTGTGTGTGATATTTATGTTTCTAAATATACGTGTGGATCTGTAAGTATGCCTGTATGTGTGGATTTATGTTTGTAAGTATATGTCTAGATCTGTATGAATGCATGTGTGCATTTGTGTGTGTGTGTGTGGTTGGGGGGATGTTTGTAAGTGTATGTGTGAATATGTAAGTTTGTGTACGCGCACGTATGGGGGTGGGTGTGTGTTTGTAAGTATATGTGTGGATCTGTATTTATGTGTGAATGATCACACGGCATTGCAGGCAAACAAATGTCAATCAGATCGAATCAATCTAATATCTGATTCCTATCAATTTTGACTGATCAGTCTCACCTAACTGAGATGACGTCAGTGTCAAACAGGAAAAGTATATCTAAACCTAGAGCGGGGCATGAAACCAATCACAGTTATGCCAAGGAAACAATCCGTTTCAGACTTATCTTTACCTTTTACCACTCCTCTGTATAAGGCATGACCCATTTGGCCGTTTTTTATACTGGTCCTCAAGTCTTCTCTGGTGATCTTCTGTATATTTCTGCCACTGTTTTCTTTCGTCCTTCCAGTGCCACACCCACGTACCCTTTTGCTGTACCTTGCCTGTAAGATAGTAGTAAGTTGAGATGTAGACAAGTCCAGCATCAGATACTGGCCATGTGTCATCACTGCACAGCAGACCGTCTTAATTCTGATACATAGATGTGTAATGAGGGGTTATACTGATACAGATATACTAAACCATATTACTTGATATGGTAGACATATTGTCATCACTCAAACCTAACATCACGTAACCTTGCGTGTCTCCCTCGACCTTGACTGGGAGCCCCTCCTGGTACGATCTTGTCAGTTCAGTCAGTATGTCACCAGGGTCTCTGAAATAATATTTAAACGCCGATTAACTCATGAGAAAATGTTTAGTTCGTTTCAGAGTAACATGTGTTTGTCATTTTTCTGAACTGTCAGAACACCATGATTAAAGTGTTTCTCTGATGCAGTAAAATATACGTTATATTACAGCTTGTTCAGCTTGACCTGAGCTACTCTACATATGCATGAGCCGGGAGGTCAAATGGTACAAAAGGCAGGTCGACTTAACTTCATTAAAAAAATAATGGAGCCGAGCGTTTTGCGAAGCATGCATGCATGATTGAACGTAAACCATCTGTAGCTTCTTTTTAAAAGAAAGACATGTTTTTTCGGACATCGGCTGTTCGGACATGTTGACAATAAACTGACAAATGTGCACCCCTTCACAATAATAGACTCAACCAGTTGTGACACGGTCACGCAATGCATTAGTATTCACTTGATGAGGTCAAGCTGAACAACATGTAACCTGTGTACTTGCAAGATAGTGAAGGAAGTAGTTAGAGGAACAATACCTAACACTGAGGTCCAGTTTCCCGTCAGCACCATATCTGTATGCGCCTATGTAACAGGTCTGTTTCCAGCGAACCTGGTGAGATACAATGGAGGTCGTTATGTTGGTTTCAATCAACTTGAAGAAGGAATTCGCTTAGACAGAGATATCGCCTGTAGTCAATTCCCCTTACCTTTACCATCCCATGTTCATTCTTTCTGATGACAACACCCACACAACCAGGTCCTCCATCCTGGCATCCGTAGTCGTCCTTCCAATCATGCCCTGCACAAAGAGTGATTGTTTTTAGTATTTCAAAACGATATTAAACATATCAGATAATTACAGCATTCATTTAAAATGCACAAACAGCTCATGGGTCCGTGCCAATAATCATAAAATGCAGTTTTTAAGGTGTGGCATAATTGTTTGTTCATTTAAGTGTTTCACGAAGCTTTCTCACATCTATTTTTCAGCTGGAAACATTAACTTATGTTCCATGAATAAATGGTCCCTACTTGATGTTAATACATCTTCACACTTACCTCTCGTGACTTCACAACCCACATCAATAAGCATGTCCGATGCAATTAGTCTGGGTTGATCAGGGGCTGGCCACACGTCGTATTCCCCGTCCAAACCATACCTATACTGGTTGTAAATCCCATTGTCCCACTGGACATACAGTAAATCTAAACAGAAACATCACTGGCGTACTGTACAACATGTGTCCGAGGGTTGGAAACCACGTATCACCCTGGCTGTGACATGGGCATGTTCGAATCATTGTTCATGAATTAATGTCCCTTTTGTAAATGCAATGTTCAATTACCATTTCAAGACGACAACATAAAGTCACAGTTATCGGGTTCTCAGTATTATGTATCTACTTTCAAAGGTAATACAAATGATAATTACGTTTTCCTCCCCCATGTCGTCCTCCTCCTTCATAATGGTTGATGATTGTGCCCGGGCCTTCAGTGTCTTGGTTTCCCCAGTGCCAGTCCGGACCCCTGGTCACCCTAGTCCCTAAGGGAGGTAGGCCATCCACTTCATCTATATTGTCAAACCCATCAGCGCCCTGGTCTTCGTTCCCATATCCTTCTTTTCCTTCAAGCTTAGCCATGACACTGTCAATAACCTCGGCCTGCAAAGCGGTTACAATACAAAGTTGCGTGAATTCAGCGAGTGCATGATGCAATATAGCAGAGCTTCTCGATGTACATTATTTCAAGATTGAAACGTTCTGGGCCCCGTTCCTCAAAGCGATCGTAGCGCTACAACAGTCGCAAGTCTATGTTAAAGTATGGGAGTTACGATCAACTTTGCGCTACGATCGCTTTGAGGAACGGGGCTCTGGAAGGTGTTGGACCTCTGAGACTAAATGCTATGGTTTTCAGAATGCCATTTAGGCGGGAATAGAACTAATTATAACGGACTAAATGTGCGCGCCTCACATACCTTGTACTCCTCCTCCATGTCTCCAACCAGTGCCCCCATAATCGTCTCGATGTCCTGACGAATGTCTCCTGACTCAGGACCAATCTGTCTTTGGAGACACACGAACACCTTGCCCACAGCTTCCTGAACAGTCATACAAACCGATGCAGACGCAGGCATACTATCATACGAGTATTGTCATGAGTCTTATGTATATATACAGGACAAAATAATTGAGGGATATTGGTATTTTTATGATTGATATTGTATCAGTGTGTCCATGTATAAATAGATCATTATTCATAATTTCAAAATTTACATATATCCCTAACTATTTCTGTCCAGTATATTTCGATGATGTTAGTATAGCTGAACAGTTTGCATAAACGCAGGCATGTCAGTGCTATAGGAACCATGTCAATTCCAATTATCTTACCTCACATATAAGATTGGCTGAGCGTTCTTCTATTATTTTCAGTGTTCCCCGCTAACAAGCCTGTATCTATGTTACCCGCTGGGAATGCCGAAGTGAATACTTACTGTTTTGGCTGTTGTCGGTATTGGCTAATTGCCTAACTCTGGTACTCCTTATTATGATCCGACGCCCATGCTTCAAGAGTTTAAAATTAACATTGAGGTGTTCGGTAAGATAAATACGTTGTTCACTGGACCCATGTCCCCCTCATGACCAATAAACAACTTATAATGTGCCTATACATATACAGTGCATCGATCTCAGGAGGTTTTTGAGTAAACGTATTGCTTAACACCAAGAGTACAAGTAAACCTGAGAAAAGTGTATCTTGTAACTTCCCGTTATAGTATGAGAAACATTGAACTGCGGATCCTGTTACCTGTATTCGCTGGTACTGACTCAGTCTCGGTACAACAGAGAGACCACCCTCCATGTAGTGCCCTTTGCCCATAGTTGCCAGCGACTTCAGGAATCCCTGAAATGACATCATGACATGCATTTTCAGGTCTGACCTTTCTGGGTACCAATATGATCGTTACAATCATATCCGTCTGATGTGAGATGGCATGCACAAAACGGGTACGTAATACGCGTGAATTATTTGTGTGACGTCTATGTGGCTCTGAGTCAAATGCATAAGTTTCCAACCTCGTTTTTGCTGACTTGCCAGGACACGGCACGTACCGTATCGGCATTTCCTGCCGGAATCCACACCAAAGGCCTGGGAAACGTTGTTTGATTCTTCTTGTCCGTAAATTCTTGCATCAACTGAATGATGCGCAACTTGACCTTATAAAGAGATTATCAATGTTTGTTGTATCAGTTCATCTTGGTAAATGAGAGCAGAGCGAAATTATACAATTATACTACGAGCAGCATTGGACAGTGTTATGGAAAGCGTGATAGCTTATATTAATGTGTTATGATTTCTTTTAAAAAACATCAAAAAGGAGATCTCTGTGGTAAGAAAGAAATGAAAGTCCTGACACAGCTATATGGACTCCCTTACGTTGTCATCGACGTTGTCCACATCACCTGCACAATCCTTAGATTCATCGGAGGCCTTCCCGTCTGTGATTATGATGACCCGGGGCTGAAGACGGTGGACGCCAGAGATGCTCAGCGCACCCCCTGAAAATCATAGACTCAACGATACATTGGCCTGTCTATTGTACAACACCAATAAGCGTATCCAATGACGCAATGTCTACATCCATACACTAATCAAGTGATAATATTACATCTATAAACTACTCACGTGATAACACAACCACATCAACACACTAATCTGATAATTTGGACACGAGATGATGAGATCATCTACGCACAAAAAGGTGACTATGGTTTTAGTGATAGCTGTCACGACACCCTGAGTCTACACACATACACTAATCAGATGACTGTGACACTTCAGACGTACACAAATAAAGTGTACACAAATTGTGTAAGTATTTTGTAACATACATACCTCGTCCATTTATGGCGCAGAGACACACCAGAAGTGCTTCAAATAGTGGTGACCGACCGCCAAGTTGAAGTTTATCTAAGAGAGAAATATTTGAAGGCACATCTACTTTGATTGGTTTACGACAATTCTTACAGACATTAATTTTAACAGCTGTTTCAGTAAGCATTCTGTAATGATTTCGTATATCGTGTATATCTTACCAATTTTGTCTCTGATACTGGAATAGTCATTGCTCAAATGGTGTTCGATTTTTGAACGTCCTCCGAAAGTTACAACAGCAATATTCTCCTCGATTTCGTGCTTCGCGGCAATATCATCCAGGGCTGAAACAATACGTGGTATTTGGTTTATTTGTATTTCCGTTAGGTATTCACACATATGTATCATACTGACACTGATCAGAGTCTGCATACCGTCAATAAATGATAAAGCAATGGTCTTCATTTCTTTAAGTCCTTTCTGTCCCATACTGTTTGAAGTGTCCAGACAAAGGATCGTGTCGAGGGCTTTGGTCTTTGGGGGCATTGGTATCTCTGCGGGAATATATAAGCGAAAGTTTATGAAATAGGCATTACATATGCTTGGTCTGCAAACATATAACGGCCTGTAAATCCACCTTAAAAGATATAAACAAATATTCTATTCACTTTTACATCACTGAAACGCTAATCGGCAAAAATTGACCACAGCTTTATGACACTAATTTCAACAGCTCTGAGTTTTTTTTTGTTGACAAATTTTCAGTTGAATTTACCAGAATAAAACAAAGACGAGTTTATTTAGATATGAACCATTCGAGGAACTCTAACATTATACCAATGAAAGTTTAACAATATTGACGTGTATGAATATTCATGTACATGGCCGTACCGTCGATCATTGCCAGCTCAACTGTTTTGATCAAACGTTGTACTTCTGGGGATGAGCCGTGTACTCCATGAACCTTCAAGAAATTCCGTGCTTGTTCTGTAATTAACAAAGCAGTATTGCGTTACCTTCAGTGTGTCTGTTTGTCAACCATCAGCCTTCGTATGTTCTGATATTCAATCAAAGTTCACGAGTGACTTACACAAGAGGAGGATGCATGAAATTTTCTTACGTCTTTCATGTCCTTGAATCTGAGGTGGACGATGTTGTGGTTGTGGTTGTGGTTGTGGTCTGCTGTTTCTGTAATAAGAGAGTGTACATGTACATTTAAAATCCATGGGAAACATGTAAGGTTAGCTATTGCATGCACAACCTTAGCTATTGCATTATTTTTCACTGAAAACATAATTTTCAGAGCAATATATTCCATGCATTAGAGGAATTAACCTACCCAGAAACACCAGCTTTATTGTCATGAGTTGGCATAAGGTCCCTTCCGTGCGTCGCAGCCATTAACTTTGGGTTAAGTCTGTAACCATCTGCTGCGCCTTGGCTTGGCCCGGGCATCTCTTGACTGGGGTAAAATGCATAGGTCTTAAAGGCACAATGTCACACATTTTTAACAATATTGTGGCCTATATTGTATATATTGGGGGCATAAGCACTCACTTAGCTTCCTGTTGGTGCAATAAAATACTTATTATGCCTTACGACTTGCTTGAAATCGATAATGTGAACCTTCGAGGCGAACAGCTTCCAAACAGAAACACTTGCCATATATGGAATGTAACTGTTGCACTAGGTGCTGTCGGTGTTTGCCAAACTGGTTTTCAATCACAAGTTATGCGTAGGATATTCGTAAAGGGATTCCTAAGGGACATAACTCTATAGGGTTCGCTTCAAATAATGTTCGGCTGGTAGAGGGCGCAAGAGTCGATTTAATGCAACGTTGCATTAATTCATTCGAGCATTTAAATTTAATATTGTAATCTAAATACGTAATTTTAGGGAATAAATTATATGGTAGCTTCAGTGAGGGCTGATTGTTAGTATTATTGGGAGAAATGCATTGTGTATTTAAATAGACATGTGGTGTGACATTGTGCCTTTAAGATAAATTTAAATGGTTGAGAGAACGAAGTTTAACAAATAACCACATATCATATCATAGTTGTTTTGGTTAGTATATTGATGCAACAAAAAGCATGTTATTTCCAGATATACCCATTCATTCATCATTAATATATTCGTACTAAATGCCTTACCATATATATACCCCAGGATCTCACCGTTTTACATCAGTAGTTGATGAAGGTTTCTGCTGTTTCTCCGGTTTCCCGGAAGTCGATAGTGGTGCTTGTCTGTGGAAAAGGACGTCATACATACAGTCCTCAGGATTCCATTGACCTTCCTGACGTTGCACCTCAGATAATTTTACATTCGACAAAGGATTTCCAACTCCATTCTTCGACAGTTTGTCATCCAGCTTCAAACGACTATCACTTGACGGGTTTTCCATGTTCTCTTGGTTTCTTGTACCATGTGTTGACGGGCAATGCTTTCTTGGTCAGTATCCTCTTGTTGTTTCCTGATTTTGGCCCAACTGTTCCAGCGTATCAATCTCGGGTTCCATTTGGCTTCCGCGTACATTCACTGGGCCTACAGAGTTAGTTACATGAGCCATGGCGACAATGTCCTCCTTTCTTCCACCACTGTCAGGTTGACCTCCCTCTGAGGTAGATGCCAGATGAGTGTCACCGTCAGTGTCCAAATTAGGCGACCCAGACGGATGTGAGGTCTCAGCGGCGCCTTTCTCTGGCTGTTTTGTGCTTATTTTCTGCTGCACGAAGGACATGAGCGTTTTCAGCGTGGTGTTAATCTCCTCGTTCTGGGATCGCTGTTCTTCAAACTTCGCCTCAATGACGCTTCTTTGAGCCTTCAGATTTTCCTCGATATCATCAAACTTCCTCTCTGTCTGACAGTCTGCAATACGCATAGATCGGTCGTGTGTAAGCAATGTTTACATTCATTCAGAGTGAGTGAGTGAGTTTAGTTTTACGCCGCCCTCAACAATATTCCAGCTATATGGCGGCGGTCTGTAAATAATCGAGTCTGGACCAGACAATCCAATGATCAACAGCATGAGCATCGATCTGCGCAATTGGGAACCGATGACATATGTCAGCCAAGCCAGAGAGCCTGACCCCAGATCCCGTTAGTCGCCTCTTACGACAAGCATGGGTTACTGAAGGTTCATTCTAACCCGCACCTTCACGGGTCCATGCAGGAGAGGTTTACTGACATCGTTCACCGAAGACATTAGCATGTTAAACTTGGAATAGGGACGACCCGAAATTTGCATTGTATGTACAATACTATTACTTACTTTAAATCTACATTCACATTCAAATCATTTCATAAATTAGAATTTAATTTTAAAAAGTCAAGGGTTACCATTGTCGTCCAGTGAATTAACCACTGTACTCCGGTTTCCAGCTTCATTCGCACACCTTAAACATCAAATGTTAACGAATGGAATTACTTATGGAATTGTCAATGGGCTTATAAGTTGACACTGAACATCGTGCCTGATCAGCCTAGTAGCACCAGATAAATAGGCATAACGCTTTTACATGTTTAATAAGCCGTGACTGACAACAAAATGTACACAACATACCCGGTTTCATCAACGTTGTCAGCTGTGTTTGCCAAAACCGGGGCACCACCAGAAGGTGCTAGGTTTGCTGTCTGTATGGGTACTGGAGTATTGTCTGCCCCAGTATTGCGTTCATCATAAGTTGTATCAGCTGCATCACTGAGGTCTAAACTTAGTTCCAGTGAAATGTCTCTGTTTGCACAAGCAGATAAGACACTTTGGACATCTCGTTCCAAGTCTTCTATCACCCTCCCAATTTCATCCAAGCTTACAGCACTCTCATGAGCTAGCCCAAAGCCAAACGGGCTATCCTGTACGTATGTTACTCTTGCTCGGTAGTCTGAGTGAATCTTTTCTGTTAGTCCCCGCAGATGTCTGTAATTGTTCCCAATTAAGCCAAGGATAATGTCCGCATTCATGGTTTTCGATCCTGCATGAAGGTGGACTTGGCAGAAGGAACGTGGCGTGTTTGTCAGACAAGCCCAAGTCAGTGTCACAACAGGATGGGCATCTGTAATGAGAAGCACCATTTAACCGACATAGATATCTTGTCGATCAGCATCAACTAAAAAAAAGTTACAAAAAATATCATTTAGCAAGGAAATTCGTTATCGAAAAAAGCTGAAGATGAACAAATTACTCTTGACAAGCTGTTTGCTTACTTCAAGGATATAAACGACGGCACTGGCGAGGCTGTAGATATCAAAAAGAGATATCAAAAGCAATAGACGATCTTAAAAATGACAAAGCCTGTTTTGAGAATGTGTATAATGAATATATAAAGTCTTGGAAATGTATACTTGTCCCCATGTATGGAAAGCCGTTTAATATTGTCCTACAGTCGGGTGTGTTTCATGATAAGTGGCTAGTGGGCAGTATAAAACCTATATTTGAAAGTAAAGGTGACCAAGACGCTCTTAAGTTGTATCAGTCAGCTGTTTACGTCTATTATCAACAATAGACTTACCCCTTCTGTAGAAAACACGAAGGTACTGCTGGATAATAAATATTAATGGTACAATATTAATGGTAATATATTCAATGTAATCAAATCGATGTACCAAGGTATTAAATTCTGCGTAGAACACAATGGCCAACACTTCCAGTATTTTTATTGCAAAAATGGTGTACGACAAGGATAAAATGTATCCCCCATACTATTTGCACTGTACTTAAATGATTTAGAAAATTCGTTTCTTAGAAATAATTTTGACGGTGTTACAGTTACACACGATGATAATGATATATACATATTTGTTCGACTATATGCTGACGATACTGTCATATTATCAGATGATCCAGAAGAAGTACAAAATTCGTTAGATTGTTTTTACCACTATTGTTTAAAAACAAAGTATCCATAAATACTCAATTGACCACGATGAGAAGAACCCGACAGGAAATTATAATTTTATGATTCACCAAGATAGCATCGAGCGTGTAAACCAATATAAATACCTTGGTTTTGTTTTTGGTAACAATCGTTTTTATTGAAATGCCATAAAATCTCATATTACCTAGGCAAATAAAGCAATGCATTTGTTGTACAAGCGTTAAAGAAATACTGATATGTCTATAAAATTTATGTTTTATTTATGGTATTTATTTGATTCTATGGGAGCGAAATTTGGGGATTTGAAAATGTAAAAGCAATTGAAAGGGTCTTAGGATTCAAAGTGATTTTATTAGATATATTTTAAACCTAAGACGCAGTGCCCCAACATATATGTTGTATCGTGAAGCAGGGAGACTACCTCTTGTTGATAAAACCAAACTGCGCATGCTGTGTTTCTGGTCCAGAAAAGTATCAGGAAATTCTACGTTAACAGCTTTATATCAATGAAATACAACCATAACTATACATGGCTCAGCTCAATTAAATCATATCAGATAGTATTGGTATGTCCAATAAATATAACTCTCAAGATAGAGTTCCTTTTTCCTGGTTCAAAAATGCTATTCAACTTAACATTTCAGATCAATCGCTTCAGTTGCCTAACAACCCAATAACATCTTCCTCTAAAGCTGTTAACTATAAATGTATGAAATCTCATTGTGATATTTCTTTACTAGAACGTAAATTAGGAACAAAGCACTGTAATATTTTAAGCAAATTTAAAACTGCCAACCATACATTACCTATTGAAACAGGTCGCTGGGAAAGTATTTCCTCAAAAAAAAAAAAGAATTTGTCCATCGCCCCTCCCAAATCGGAGATGAATTTCATTGATTTACTTCAATGTAATATATTTACTGCCTCCAGAAATATGTATCTAAATAATTATTTTGTGAACAATCCTAACTATTATAAAGTGTCAGCCCTAAATTAAACTCATAATGTAAAACCCATAATTACGAAATCTATGTAAATATCTTTCCATCATAATGTCTGTCAAAAAGACATGATTAGTTTATCAACACATGGTAATTGTTAAATTGATTCAAGCCATAGTCTTAAATGTGATATATTTCTGATAAATACCCCCATACTGTTTAACATGTGTTTGTAAACGTATGGTAATAAAGGTTTAAACGTTGATTGTTGTTAGATATGAGGGGAAATCATTTGAAAGGTCGTTACGGTAGTGACATTATATACCGTCACAATGTCATTGACGTACATGCAGTCTTTACCTGTGTTTTACATGACACGGACACCAAGTAAATGTTTGGCCTATTACATATTCTTCAAGCATTCTGAAATATCTAGCTCACAATTTCATTAAATCAGCTTTTAAAGTAAACATATAAAACCGGCTATTATAAAAAATGTCACTACCATTACTGTGTCACTACCGTAACAATTAATGCCACTGTCCATGCAGTAACATTATCATTTTCATTATTTAATTAGATTTGATTTATCTGTTTATGTCTGGAATTTGAAGAGCAAATATGTTTGGTAGTAGAGCTTCAAGAAAGCGTAATAATTCATATTCTCATTTTGAATCTTTTACTCCATATTACTTTGTTTGCAAATCAGAAATTAAAGGAATTTGTGGTCTTGTTGGCCCTTTTGTAGCAATAAATATAAAATTTCAAAACTCATTAGCCATGTTATATTTGTTATAAAACTAGATATTCAAATATATAATGATGTACATCAAATGATTTCACCTTTGGATTTTTTCTTTCAAAATGACGTTACAAATTTCGTAACGGTAGCTACATATATATATATATATATATATATATATATATATATATGGATCTTCTCAATAACTACAAACAACACATCATTCGTGGCGAGACTCTGACCTTTAATCTTGTCTCCCGCTGACAACATGTTCAAAGCATCCTGGTCTGTGTTGATATCCACCACGTCACAGTTTTCTGTAATCATTTTAACATCAGCGCCCATTGTCTCTCGGAAAATAAGGCGTCCCAATTTCTGATTTCCTTGACTGTTGTCAATGTCACCATGCCCTTGTTCCCTGCCGTTACAACTGTCAGCAGAGGGCTCCGGCGGTATGTCGATTATAAACTCTTCATCGGAAGACTCCATTGTGAGGGTGCAGTGCCTTGTTTGTGTGGCTATTTACCTCTCTCTCTCTCATGCAGCCATTTGGGCCAAGTCTGATGGTGGTCGTACAGTGGCTGTATAGACTAGTAGTATAATCAGTATATCAGAAGTTTCACATCAGATTTAAGATGAGTTAAAGGGTCACACTGAAAATACCGTCACACTTCTAAACATACTCACAAGCCTACTGAGATATCAAGTAGATAGGGTTTCACTATGTCGCCTGTTCTTTCTGTAACGTACATTCAGCCACACGGGAAATAGCCTATTTTAACGGTCTTGTCATACCGAAAGTGTAATCCCAGGAAACTACATGGGAATCCCCCAGCTGAAAATAGCCTGGCTGAGTGTGGCCGTTACTGGCGCATGATATGTCGACTCTCATCCCGGTCGAGGTGACCCAATACAACTCATTGAGACCAGATATTGTGTCTGAGAGATCTAATGCTCGGAGAAGCATATAAAGGTTGATAATTATATGAACAGGCGCCGGCCTGTTTCCTACCCATTACAATTCTCTAATGACATGTATTATTCAAACAACTATTCCCATTCAAATTTCCTATTACTTACCTTTCTTATTTCTTTTAATTTATTTTTTATTTTTATTACTAATAACGGTACATAGCATTTCACATTTCATCACAGATAATGCATATAAACAACGCATATTACAGTTGATCAATATTTGATGCTGTTATTAATATGTGACTTGTAACTTGCGATTAAAGAAAATGAGGATAGGGAATGAGACAGAAAAGGGAAGAAAAAGGATGCAGAATGGAGAAACTCACTTTGCTAGTCTGTAATTTAGTCGTCTTGGAAGAGGCATGACCATTCCGTTTAAATTCAGAGTGGTCTTCCCCGAAATATGTTCCAATTGGTCGTGTGTTTTTTCATGAGGTAGAAGAGTTGGTTGACATTTTAATCCGCTTTATTGATGTATTCATTGGTAATAATGAAAATTCGGTTTACTAATACGCTTGCTTTAGAATCCCCCAGTAGAAACTTAGTAATATCAATATTGAGGCAAGCGCCAGTCTTGCGAGTTGTACCAGTTTGTAAACTGAGAGATTAGATGTTTAGTTTTCTCACATACAAAGACTAAGCGCTCAAGGGTTTCTGTTTCTCTGACACATGAAGTACAGAGATTATCTTGATTAATACCTATTTTACATAGAAATGACTTTGTTGAAACTATTCTGTGCCTCAATTTAAACTGGAAGGTCCTAGCCTTAGTTTGAAATACCTTTGTTATTTCAGTATCACACGTTAAAATATCTCAAAGCAAAGTATTCATCCAGATACCTCGTGCACTATTATGTGTGTATGTGTAAGAGAGGTGATAGTTGACTGAACATAAAAGTAAGTGAGGGAGCGTAAGTAAAGTGTGTGTGTTCATGGACGATATATATTATGTAAATAGATAATCGGCCTTGACTGTCTATTTGTGGTTCAGCGAGCTGTGTCTGGAATATGCTAACATGTACTAATTTTGAAAATGTATTTTCTCATCAACCAGTATAAAATCCCGAATTGTCGACTATGTTTATATGACTGTGAAACAAAACATTTGTGATATTTTTACGTTAACCCATAACCAATTAGCTGAACGAGCAGCAGTTCCAACGGAATCCTCTGATCATATGTTGGAATCCCATAGTCGCCTTAATTCTAATCAGGGTTTTTGCCCTCTCTACCCTTGTTGGGCTCGCCAGGCTGGCAAACAGATACACCACCCTCTGAAACATTCAGGTACTTCATCCCTCCAACCACCATCACAGTGATAAACAGAACCATCAGAACGTTTCCGAGGAGTAAATGCTCCCCACTCTTTCTTGATGGTTTATTGCCAAATGCTGTGGTCCTCAGAATAAAGGAGTTCACTTACATGAATTATGACGAAGGAGACATATTGAACATCCATTATTTCACAGCCTTAAGGTATTATGTGATTTGGTTGACTATTAAGATAAATCGTATTAATAGAAAGGAACCTTTGCTTTTGTACACACAGTTACATGTTCATGGATAGATGGTGTGCTGTATATTAGGAATGAATGCTTCTCAGGTTACTCATTTTCTCAACATGTTGTACATTCATATTGTTAGTGTTATCTTAACATTTATGTCATTTTCAATTTTTAATTATGTGATCACTTTCAAATGTAAAGAATTCCCTTGGGGGTAAAAATGTACTGTCATTGTCAATGTCAATGTATTGCAATGTTTTATCGACAAATATAGAGAACATTTGGAATATATCAGCTAACCATGTATGTGGGTACTGAAATAATTTAAAACAAATGCATACCAAGATCACATTGTTTTATTGATTTTTGTGCCTTAGAATATGTACATTGCATTTACTATATGTACACATTAAAGTGGCCATAGCATATTGAAAACGTTTTAGACAGATGTTGGTCTATACTTCTTCATATATAAAGAAGTATATATATATTCGGTTATGCTCTCACATTTTCTAAATACATTCACTTCTTTATGTAAACATATAACAGCTACTCATACAGGATAGCGCCAGAGTATGGAATAATTCCGATAATGATGGACTGGTGTTAAAGGAACATATGTACCACTGGTGGTGAATGACAAGCTACAAGGGTTAACGTTATTTCAGGATGGAGTTTGTGTTGTCTCCGGAAAATAAAACAGGATACATGAATATGAGTATATCAGCGTTGGAAATTCCCTCCTGCCCGAAGGTCTGTTTTGCTCCCGGAGAGTCACACGATGGTCGGGCTGTTGTTGTTATTGCGTAATGTATTCAATGCAATCCATTTTAATATATACGAGGTAAACTCTAACTTAATGTAAGAAGTTACCTTATTCTTCCTTACGTTTTCTGAGATAATAATTGTGTTTCGGTCCTCATTTGCCATTGGCCAAGTAATCGAAATTACCCAATTAGAGTCCGTTTTAGAATTGCACTCATAACAGTGTATTACTGAGGAAGCTATAGACATGCGATGCCTACGACCGTGTGTATGGAGCTCTGGTTAAAGTTGACAATATGGCGACACTCAAGCGTGCCTTCCTCAAATTTACCTTCCTGTTGCTTTTGTTAGTCCAGAAATTTCTGGACTGGCAGCATTTTATCCGGTCTGGTAACTTAGGAGAGTTGCCAGACCGGTTGTCTGGATGAAATAAGTTTGGGGAATTTTCAGCACTGAGTACATATAAGCAGCGTCTGATGTACACTGTACTCATTAACGTACACTTGTCCTCCGTCATCTCGTGTACTTTCTACTACATCAAAGTAGCCAGGTTCAGTTTCACAAATATCAGATCCATCTTGGATCAACCAAAGCCAATAATCGTTACCATAACGTATGTGTATCGTACTGAGCATACAACTGATCTCTTGTATGGTTTATATCTCCGACAGGCAAAACCAATTACAGTTTCTTGTTATCATGTCTACATGTTCATTTTCCTGGCCACCACATTGGTTTCAGTGCTATGCATAGCATCTACGATCTACGGAGGACGGTAACGTTGAGTTGAGTTTACACATGATCTACAAAACAGTTTACTCAAACAAACACGAAATGATCCAAGACTCGCACATTCATTATAGAAAGAAGACAATGTGATATTTACTCAAATCATATTATTGAAAAAAAAAGACTGTCGTCCTTTGTGAAATAGTATTCACTACAGGATCTTTCAAACTCCACTTTACAAACGCTGGTTTTGCACCATGTTTCAATCAACCCTCTCAGGCCCTACTTCCAGGATAACCCAAAGTTAATCTGAAATGAAAACAAGGACTGGAATTATGTAAATCCTTTCAAATGTACAATATGATACGACACTAGGAAATATTTATCCATCCAAATTTGAACGTGCTGTACGCTACAATAATATTGTGATGCATATTGTAAGACAAGGAAATCTGCCTACCGGTGAACCGTTTCCGTATGTCTGCGGTCGTATTATCCTCCACAGATCTCTCAATATTGTTTCGGAAGGATATTCTGAAACTGAAATGTGCCGACATATATTATAATTCTTTAACATGACAATTACAATACAATACAATGCAATTCAATTTGTATAATACAAATAATCTATATCCATTTAGGAAATATGCACAAGCAAAAGGTGCGTTTTTTAATATCATTTTTCGATATTTTTGCTAACAGATAAGTGGTCAAGAATACCTTTGGCCATTCCTACTGAGAAGACACGACCCCATCTTTCGCTTCCTGTACTCAGTCATCATCTTGGCATTCTCAGCCTCTGTGTAGTCCTGCCATCCGTGTCGCCCATCGTTCCTCTGCCACACAAACGACCTGTCACTTTCTGGTCGGCCATGCTTTTCTGAATACAACACAACGTGTTCGATCATTTCACCTGATACATTAACACATTTCACCTGATACAGTAACACTTTTAACCTGATACAGCAACACATTTCACCTGATACAATAACACATTTCACCTGATACAGCAACACATTTCACCTGATACAATAACACATTTCACCTGATACAGCAACACATTTCACCTGATACAATAACACATTTCACCTGATACAGCAACACATTTCACCTGATACAGCAACACATTTCACCTGATACAATAACACATTTCACCTGATATGGCAACACATTTCACCTGATACAATAACACATTTCACCTGATATGGCAACACATTTCACCTGATACAGCAATACATTTCACCTGATACAGCAACACATTAACCTGATACAGCAAGACATGTTACCTGATACAATAACACATTTCACCCGTGAAGATCAGGGTTAGAATTGGTCTTCAGCAACCCATCCTTGTCGTTGACACATGTCATCGTATCCCAACTGCGTAGGTCGATGTTCATCACTGGATTGTCTTGTCCTGACTCGATTATTTACAGAACGCCGCCATATAGCTGGAATATTGCTGATTGCGGCGTTAAACAACAACAAAACCAAATCAAACCAGTAATACATTTAGTGTTGTAAAATGTTGGTTTCTTTCATGTTTAGAGCCCATTCAGCAATATTGCTAGCTATATGAAGGTGATCCGTAAATATTCGCCTCTGGATCAGACAGTCCAGTGATTGCATCAAATGATAGTATGATCATCGAGCTATGCAAATTGTATACAATCACATGGACCTGCCTAATCTGACCTGCCGATCCCGTTAGTTGCGTCTTAAAAGCAGGGGATGCGGAGGACCAATTCCGATGTCGTCGAATAAGTGAATCATGTCTCGTGAATATTATATACAGCCGAAACCAAGTTAAGTTAGCTTGTTCATGTATGATAATCTCAGGTAGAGCCTTTAGGCGATGTACTGATCCTCACCTGTATGTTGAGGGTGACTGAGAGAGAGGCTGGTATCACTCTTCTTGGTTGACTGTGGGGAACTCCTCTCCAGCAGACAGGCAAATGGGTCCCTGAATGGATCATATATCACGGTGCACATTGCAAACTTCAGTATTCCCTCAACACCATGGCACACAGTAAAGTGAGTGATGGTTGCCTCATTAACTAATATTCCAGCAATATCACGGTCGGGTACAAGGAAAATGGGTTTAAGCCGCATTAAGCAATATTCCAGCGATATTAATATTAATGCGTTTTACACACAGCAAAGAAACAATGAAAGACAACATGTCGTAATATTAAAACCTTAAAATAAATGAAAAAAAACAACACTTGACATGTACTAATGGAGTCATGATACTTAGGAGATAAACATACTGTGTTGGAAAATCAGAGGTATATAACTTGATTATATACCTCTGAATGACTGATTAACCAATCACAATCCAGAATTTACTGAAGTCATGGTAGAATTTCAAATATGGTTATACTGGGATCCCAGGTGCGGGATAACTAGGCTGGGTAACAGTACATAATAGACTTAATGATATATTGAACTAAAAGTTTAGGAACACACCTCATTGCCACGTCGTACATATTGTTTTCCCCAAACCTGTACTTGTGGATACTTTCATTGTCCCATCTCACCTACGAACAACGCACATATGATATTTATACACATGCATAATCTAAACATATTACATAATTGATGTCACACACGCGTTTTTCATGGTAACATGAAAATTCAAGTTTTGACAAGAGTTAGGATACCAGTGGAAAATGTTAATGAATAGTCTGGTGGGACTTACAATAGAGGAAAGATATAACTGATGGGACAGTCAAACCTCTAGCAACATCTCAGATTGATTAGCTGCAAGGAGAATCGTTGTATTATTTAGAAACATAAGCTAGAGACAAGAAGAAAGACGTCACCATGATTATCTGTCCTTTGCGTCTTATGACAGTTCCGTGACTCCCGGGCCCGCCATCCTGGTTCCCATACGACTCCTGCCAGTGTGGACCTCAAACAAAACGTCACATAGACACTAATGGTCAAATGCCCAGTACAGACCTCAAACAAAACGTCACATAGACACTAATGGTCAAATGCCCAGTACAGACCTCAAACAAAACGTCACATAGACACTAATGGTCAAATGCCCAGTACAGACCTCAAACCAAACGTCACATAGACACTAATGGTCAAATGCCCAGTACAGACCTCAAACAAAACGTAACATAGACGCTAATGGTCAAATGCCCAGTACAGACCTCAAACAAAACGTCACATAGACACTAATGGTCAAATGCCCAGTACAGACCTCAAACAAAACGTCACATAGACACTAATGGTCAAATGCCCAGTACAGACCTCAAACAATACGTCACATAGACACTAATGGTCAAATGCCCAGTACAGACCTCAAATTTCAAAGAATGTGTTGTGTTAAGATCCCATAAACAGTAAAGTTAGATTCATGTGTATATCGAAGGAACACGCTGGGTCGCAGATCAATATTTCTGCAACATCCAAATTAATGCTGCGCACGAGTCGTCCCATCCTCGATAATCTCCAGGGTATACGTTACGATCACTCTCCACTATACCCTGGAGATTATCGAGGATGGAGATGTCCTTATTTCTAAATTATGTATTTATGTACTCTTGGTGAACTAACTTTAACAGTTGCAGGCGTTTACCTCGTTCGACTTGAGCTCCTATCTCAACCATATGGCTATCACCAAATGTCCGCGGTTGGTCATCCACAATCAGAACATCGAACTCGTTTTGGACGCCGCATCTGTAAACGTTCCGTTGACCGTTGTCCCATAAGACCCACACACTTGCTGAAAATTCCAGAGGTTTAGAATAAAATATTAGGTACACAACTTTTCAAAGAGCAATGCAGACCTGATTTCGACAGATAACGAGTATTCCTGTTATAGCTCCGCACCTTAGCCTATTATGGGGGTAAAGCCTAAAGTGATGCAAGTCTTGGACGTTTACCACTAAGATAAAAACCACATGAATGGTTATGGCGCTTACCTGCCTAAAAACATTAGTGGCGTGAAACCAGATTCGAACCCAGGACCATTTGTTTTGGGCGTGCTCAACGGTTACCTAACTCTGTTTTGTCTTCTCATCTAAGGTGTGGAGTTTTCTCACCCAAAATATGTTGTCAACTCTTTGATTCTTTCGTAACGAGTACTCTTAGCTATGGTTGTGAGATATGGGGCTTAAACTATGCACCGGAAATAGAAAAAATACATCTTAGGTTTTGTAAGAAAATACTACACGTCCATCCTAAAGCATCAAATGCAGCAGTTTACAGTGAACTTGGTAGAATACCGTTGTATGTAAATAGATATTGTAGAGTTTTACTGGTTTAAATTGGTATACACTGAAAACATGGTCTTGAAAGCTGCATATAACATATCACTGCTTTATTGTGAAAAAGGTGAAAAGATTGGTGTAACTCAGTGAAGGAATTGTTGTGTAGAAATGGTTATGCATGTGTTTGGCTAGATCCGTATTCTGTTGATTGCATGCCATTTGTGGCCTCATTTAAACAACGCATGAATGATAATTATATGCAGAAATGGCGAAGTGAGTTAGAAAAGAGTAGTAAACTTACATTGTATACGAAAGTTAAACAGGTGTTTGAATATGACTATTATCTTAGTTGGATTCCACAGAATATACGATGCTATCTAACAAAGATTAGAATACCATGTCATAAGCTACAAATTGAAATAGGACGTTACAAAAACATAGATAGAAATTTGAGATTTTGTGAATTTTGTCTGTCATCTGGTACCAACGTCATAGAGGACGAATACCATTTTTTGCTTGTGTGTCCAAATCACCATACAAACAGAGTGAAATATATAGGTAAATATTACTGGGAACATCCAGATGAATCTAAATTCATAGAGCTGTTGGAGTGTACATCTAAACTTCCATTGCTGCATTTGCCTAAGTATATTAAAATGTGTTTGTATAGATAATAAGTCAAGCCTCCATTTTCTGGCACAAATGTACATTTCTGTAGAAAACAGACGAGGGACGTTAGTCCAAGTCTTTGAAGCAAATAGACACTTTTCTTGTCTTGCTCAAAGAATAGAAACGCCTGAGACGACCGAACAACCTGAGTCACCAACACAGTAAAATATCTGTGCTGTGTTGTGTGCTCAGCGTTGTTGACTGTACGTACATGAATAGGAACAATAAAACAAGACAGGCACGGCGACAAACCCAGATCTAGATGCCTAAGATGAAAATACTGTATATATGACGTTTACAGCCAGCTGGTATATTATGTGAATGTTATTGTATTTACGGCCATCAGCATCGTGGTTGATGACTGTCCCGGGACCCTGCGAGTCTTGGTCCCCCCACATCCAGTCTGGTCCACGGACCACTCTGCTGCCCAGTGGGGGTAAGTTGTCTCTTGTCGTGATGTTATCAAAACTGTCAATAGCTCCGAGATTGCCCTCAACGTTGTAGATGTTCATTTTGACCAATGTGGCAATCTCTTCCTGAGATGAAAGGATAGGAAGAAAAACTGTAAACTATATAATTAAATCGCCTTTTCGATTTGAGATTGGGCAAACATAAGTCCAGACATACAACAAGGAACAAGTATACATGCTAGTCTCACCTTTTCTGATGTTGTCAAAGTGTCGCCTAAGGCGTTGATCACCATTTCCATTTCACTTTTAAAGTTATCTGACTCGGTATCCCGACGTCTCATGTACACCAAAACATTACTCGCTATCCTCTGTAATTAATAAACAGTTGTTTACTTCAATGATGAATAATATGATGAGCTCAAGATGGGACATTCAACACAAGTCATGCAGGCTGCTGCCCTCTGCTGTTGTTTGTTGGTGTGTCTCTTTTATACGTAAATACCAAGGTTTTGAATGTTAATTAAACCTCCCGAAGAACACTGGATATTGCTTTTAAACACAATTATGATTAGAAAAAACCCTTACTTTACTTTGTTATCTTTACTCTGTGTCGACGAATGTAAATCAGAATAGTGAGAATATATTTGTTTCAAATTATCGAGGCTCTCCCGTCCCTCTTCAAAACAAACCATAGCCATATTCGGCACATGCTGCCACAAAAGCCTTATAGACCGAAAAGTTATAATTACCGTCTACATGAATAGTCTACATATGTTTAGACACTGCTCACCCGAAGTCGTTGGTGGTTACAAAGTGTCTTCACGTCTTTTCCTTCCAGCAGTTTTCCGTGGCACAACTTCACCATAGATTCGAGAAATGTCTGCATTGTTGAAAACATAAGATTATTGTTCAAAATTACTATAGATTTTCAATGCTATTGAAGAGCGCTGACAAAAAACCTGTCACCCTACCCCCGATTCCCCACCCCATCCCCCTCCAGCACACACGTCACCGAACGCCTATGTAGGGAACCGAACCAGTATCTTTGGCTTTTCGCGGTTCTTTAGAACATAATCCGTCATTACTGACAAATATCAAGTACAAACACAATCATAAGATAATACGTTTTCACTTCCAAATGAGCACTCGCACCAAGGTTAATGGGATGTTTGGCTAGATGTTAATGCAATATCGTAAACGTAACCGAAAACACCCAATCAAACTCACCCTGTCGGCCTCCCCGATTGGGATCCACACAAGAGGACTTGCTATATATGTTCTGGCATGTTCACTTCCTAATGCTCCAACTGCACCAATGAGGCGCATTTTATCCTGAAGACAAATATAGAAAAATGTTTATTAAATCATGCGATATGTTGTCCAACTGGTGTGTCGAGATCATTCATTCTTTAATAAACGTGTAAAAGAAACTCCAAACTAAATAGCACAACATAGATCAGGCTATAATGTACATTTTTACAACATCCAGACATCGTACTTTCTCAGATGGGCACGTTGTATCTGGCGCTGTCTCCGGTAACTCTGCAGATGCCAATCCATCAGTTATGAAGACAATCCTTGGTGGAACCAAAAGGCCTCCCATATTACAGATGCCACCTACATATTACACATGACATGGTTTTGAAAAAGAAACACTTTTACTAAAACACAAAAGCCAAACAAGATAGCTAGAAGATGAACATTTTAAATAGTTAGATATCTGGCTGCTCCTTACATTCGAATCAATGACAAAGACACATATTTCCTAGGCCGTGTAAAGTAATGTTGACACATAATGACAAGGATAAAAGATCACAACGTTGTGACACGATGAGTTACACACCTCTTGAAAGACAGGCAAGGGCAACCACCAGGGACTGGAGAAGTGGAGAAGGACCTCCTCGCTCTACTTTTTCTGATGAGAAATGCATGTTCAATTTGCAACATGAAACACTTCCTTCGGCTTTGAAAACGTCAAACTATATACAAGTGTGAATATACAAAAGCGGAATCTTAGTATAATATGCTCATAGACTTTGCTATGTTATGTGGGAACATTTATAGATAGCTGCAGGCTTCTGGAAAAGGAAAATAACTCAGTTTGCATTTGTTAGCCCAATATTGCAATCAGACTTACCAAGAGCATCCTGCAGACTTGCGTAGTCATTCGAAAGATGGTGTATTACTTTAGCCTTTCCTCCGAATGTCACTAAAGCGACGTTTTCCTCAATATCATACTTTTCAGCAACCTCTTCAATACCTAGTCAATTGAAAGGTATCAATTATCACACGATACAACAACTGTTTCACATTATATATTTTAGTTGTTTAGCATCTTTAACGTAACTATAAATACCAGTAAGGAAGTCAAGGACAATATCCTTCATCTGTGCAAATGCCTGTTCACTGATGCTCCCAGACGTGTCCAGACAAAACACTGTGTCCAATGCTGCTTCAGCTCGGAGAGATCCGTCGTCATCTGGAACAACCGCACCCAAGAGGACACATTTAACATACAGTAAATGAGTATGGGGCTATGCCGTTTCGACATTATTCCAGCAATATCACAACAGTGACACCACAACTGGGCGTCACAAATTGTGTCTAATTGGATAATTGAAACCGAGCCTTCGACGTGACGAGCGGACGCTTTAACCACTAGTCTATGTAGCTACCCATGTTGTATATTAATATATACACACAGGAATAATGATGCAGGAATAGACAGAAAACCGGTTTAAAATACGGCAAGGCGCGACATTGGCATAACTCGATGTGTAAACAGTACAGCGTACCTTCCTGAAGTACGTCTTCAAGTCCGCTCCACAGCCTTGTGTCATCTGGATTACTGCTAATAAGACTCTGTACATCTAACACCGGACGTTTTCTACCTTTCGACGGTTCGCCAGACCTTGTCCTTTCCTTTTTAATGGGCACGAGCGATTTACCACTAAAACATAAATATTTACACCGAACAATGTTCCGATGTTTATTGTGTGAGTGAGTTTAGTTTTACGCCGCACTCAGCAATTTTCCAGCTATATGACGGCAGTCTGTAAATAATCGAATCTGGGTCAGACAATCCAGTGATCAACAGCATCAGCATCGATCTACTCAATTGGGATACGATGGCATGTGTCAGCCAAGACAGCGAGCCTGACCACCCGGTCGCGTTAGTCGCCTCTTACGACAAGTATAGGTTACTGAAGATCAATTCTAGCCCGGATCTTCACGGGTCGTTTATTGTGTGACATTATTGTGTGATAACGCTGAAATGTTCGTTCACACATTTGAGTTTCATAAGGAAATGGAATTACCTGGTGAGACTCTTCAAGACATCATCCCTGTCTACTGTTCCGTCGCTGGGATCATGGAGACCCATTAGATATGCAAGAGTTGCGTCATGTTTTTCGCGATCTTCTTTCCATTCTTCTTCCTTCAAGTTAGCGAGTGTCTTAACCTTTTGACCTTCACCTTTTCCAGAAGGTTTATACCCCGACGTGTCCTGACCTGCTTTCAAGCGATCAAGCGTCATTACGTTGCTTGACGTTGAACTCGAAAACAGTCGTGTATTTTTTCTTGAGTATTTCGTCTGAACTTTGGACGCAGCCAGACTATCAGCGACCTTGCCGACGCCATCCTGTTTCGTTGTGTTTATGGTACCGGACGTTTCATGGTTACGACTGGTTTCTGGTTTTATCTTTGAACCCGATGCATGGGTAGTTGCATCTGCAGTTGCTGCAGTGGCTCGTTCATTTTCCTTTGTTTGGGCTGCATCTGATCTGTTTTCCTTGCGGACAGGTTCATGGGTGCAGCCATGGTTCTCTTGACTCCCGTGATCAGTTCTTGAGAAGTCATCAGGTCCATTGCGTTGTACCTGATGGTCAGAACTTAACGTGGAGAGCGACGTGTGGCTCGCCAAATCATCTTGTGATTCATCTTTGACAGTTAATCTTGGTTCGTCATTCTTCTCAAAACTTTGTGTCAAACGGTTTTTTTCTTCAGCTATGACTTTTTGGATCTCAGCACTGGTCAGGCCTGCCTGGAGTGTGCACAGTACATGAGAGAGTGTCGACATAATCTCATCATTCTGCTGTCTGTGTAGGGCGAACTGAGTTTCAATGAAATGTTTTTGTTTCTTCATTTCTCTATCAATAACAGCAAACCTCTCCTTTGTGGATGCTACACTCTCCAGTTGTGTGTTTCTTCCCTCCGTCATGCAATACCTGTAAATTAAAATTTGAACAGTTTTCTTTCTAGATAACTATTTAAAGTGCATTGTGTAGGGATGTATAATGCCACATTATTCCGAACTTGTAAGTTATGATCCCTAATATATCTAGCCATCTGGTAATATATTATTATCATTTTATATGGGCAGAGAAGTATGTGAACGCACACCTCTGGTTGATAGCATAAGTAATGGTCCTTGTGTCAAAATTCGTCCATACATGAATACATGTAGAATCTAATTTCTGAATTTAGTCCAAGCAAAGGTCAAGAATGGAGTACGAATTGTCCGTCTTGGTTCACTACAGTTCGATAGAACAAGCGGAGAACTATTTACCTGGTGGACTGATTACCGGTTCTGTGGTTCCCAAATCCGCGATGGAAAGAAGTGCAAGTGTCTGTATTTTCTCTATTAACTTTAAGGGCTGTTTTGATCTCAGGTTTTGAATGCACGCAGTTTGAAACAAGACAACGTATAGCATTCATAAAGTCCTTTGCACATCTGACGAACAGGTCATTCTCGAAATGACGAAATGTAAAAGCAATGGGATGGACCTTCACCGTAACCAGTTTGACTGCTTGGTGCTTATGTACATCACGAATGAAGGTGTGTAGTTGAGTCGGATCCCGAACCATGGCTTCACAAAATTCCTCATCAATTCGATCAGGGTCTTCTAATTTCGGCTGTGTGAGGGTTAGTGTTGATGTCACTGAACCATGAGATCCTTTCCAGTGGATACAGGCGAGCGTGTCTGTAACTGAAAAGGAATACATTTGGTGAACATCCGAAAATTAAATGCATGTCCACAATGTTTGTTTTCTTCATTTCAGTTTTTTAATGTAAGTTTTACAAAGAAATTTATAATCTTTTAAGTAATTACTACACTATACGATATTATGAATCTGTATTCTAATTTCGAAGTATCAATACAATTCATGTAAACATTATGATCTGAACATGGAATTTAAGACATCGTATCATTATAACATATACAAATATATTTACATTAAGTGTGTCCAAAAATATTGTGCGTCCTGTTTAAAGTGTCCAAAGAATTCAATTATTTCGTTTGTGGATTGTTTTGTTTGTTACCTCATCTCTCGAAAATTAGATAACTGCTCCCTCGTTCAGTTAGGAACTGATTCGTCATGTTGTACCGAAGTACCTTATACTTATTGGCAACATCAAAATAGATCATGTCTAATCGTACCCTGTATCCTTTCTCCTCGGCCAACTGCATTTGACAACACCTCGTTTAAATGAACATCAGCATCGGGAAATGATTCATTGTTTGAAACCATCATTCCTCTCTGATATTCTCGGAAATGCAAAGAGTCCATGGTGTGCTTACTGAAAAAAAGAACAGGCATTTCCTCCCAGTCATGACAGGTTCAAAGCGTGAAAGGTATATCACAGATACCAGATGGAGACTGCCAGTTAAAATGCAGCAGTGTGTGATTGCGAAAGAGGAAAGAGGCCCACCTGCACACAGCACAGTTACTCAGTGTATGGAAATTAAAGCGACAAAACCCTTTCCACGTCCATAAGAAATCTCTGCTAAAAGCGGATTTGATTGTACAGTTGTGGCGAAATCATGAGTACATATTTGTTTCAGCTGTACGATGTTGTTTGTAATCAAATCGAGTCTGGACCAGACAATCCAGTGATTGTTACCTTGCGATCCGATGACAGGGCATGCGTTTATGAATCACTATCAAATAGTGATGATACCAGGTGTTCGCGAAAAGGTGTGCGTATTTTGCCCCACCGGTGGAACCCATCATAGACAAATGCTAAGTCTAGTCAATTGTTCACTTGAAGTAATTCTGGAATATATGGTATAAATCAAAATAGGGAAATGCAATTCAGAGAAATATATCTTATTCGTTCATCATACCTGGAACATTTTATGGTGTAATAAACAGCATTAAACATTATCTTGCAACTCTTATGTTAACCAAAAGTACACCAGACTGTGTCAAAGAACACTGCTGTACTATACAAAAGCTTTGCAGTGTGCGTTCAGGTTCTAAGCATGTTTATTTTACACTTGTAGCAGCAGAAATAAAAACAAAAGGCCAGGAAAAATGGGAACTTAAATTTGGTCAGCTTGCCTGGAATGAGATTTGTGCTAAGGTGTTTAGTACATGTCAAGAAGTGAAACTGCGCTGGTTTCAGTATAGACTTGTGCACAATATACTTACAACAGATTCCTTTTTATTTAAACTAAAATATGTTCAGAATGATCTTTGTTCTTTTTGTAAGAGACAAACAGAAACTATCGTCCTTTTATTTTGGGAATGTGATGTTACTAAGAACTTTTGGGATCAGTTTCTGAAATGGATAGACCAGTGTGGTCATGTATGCAATATGAAGCTAAGTGCCGAATTTATACTATTTGGAGTTCAAGAAAACATAATAACAGATAAGGTTTTTTATTTCATTTTGCTTTTCGCAAAATTCTTTATTTACAAATGCAAATGTCAAAATTCAAAACTTAATTTTAGCAGATTTGTAATGGAAATGAACATTAGATACAAAATAGAAAAGGACATAGCTCTTAGAAACAGTGACCAACATAAGTTTGATCAGGCTTGGGTGTTATATCATTGAAGCAGCAATAATCAAGACCTTTGAATATATTCAACATGTGATACGAGGCCAGCAGATTCCTATCGAGGTGCGTGTGAATGTAGGTGTGTAAGAAGGTGAATGAGTGTTTGTCCTTATGGAAAAAACCCTTCATCCTCTGTACATGCTTTAAACACCCACGAAATACACTATTACATGCATTGCATGCTGGAACTCACATTACCCTGGGTGAGAGCTGTCACATTTGTAACAGGGAAGGAGGAAAAAATATATGTAAAACAGAAAAAATAGGGAAATGCATCGGACATCATGTTTGTCACTTAATCAAATTTTGAAATTTCCTCCACATGTCAACCGTAAAACTTCTTGAAAACTTTAATTCAGATTGAAATGATTATTACCGCAACGTGTAACAATTTCATGGAAAACGTTTAACTAACATGATGTGATATTATCACATTATTATTTGCATGGAAAGAGTTTGGAAAGAAGGGATGTGGAAAGCATTTTCATATATGGATGTGATATTATCACGCATGTATTCATTGCATGGAAAGCATTTTGATATAAGGATGTGATATTATCACGCATGTATTCATTGCATGGAAAGCATTTTGATATAAGGATTTGATATTATCACAGCATCTGCTTATTGCATGTAAAGTGTTTTGATATAAGGGTATGATATTATCACAGCATGGATTCATTGTAAGGAAAGTGTTTAAATATAGGGATGTGATATTATCACAGCATGTATTCATTGCATGGAAAGTGTTTAAAAATAAGGATTTGATATTATCACGAACGTTTACGAAATTGAATCAAGAATAGAACTGACAGACAGTATCAGATATTATTTTGTTTGGTGAAATTTTACTAATAGTTGAGAATGAGTTTTATATATATATTCAAGATTCCATTTCAAACTGAAAACAATTATTCCTTCTCAGGCGCAGAACATTTAGCCGTTAGGACAGACAGAGTTATCTCCCACACCGACACGCCAGAACACCCCTGATGCATGGCTATATATAGAGCAATCTTAACACTCATCACACCTTCATCCGCCACGTAGATTCAGTCTGCTCATCGATGAAGAAATATACTTTAAAATCGAAGTTCGATAAAGCATAAGCTGGGGAATAGTAATACTCACTCGAGCCACCCAGTGTTGTCCCCCAGCTCGGAAGGTATGTATTCACATCAATCCGGTTTTCCCGAACGTACTAAAAATAGCTGTCACATGCACATGACATCACTCGTGTTTCTTTGCCAGCGTTTCAATTTCCTCGTGTGGTGTTAGCTAAATCAAGCAGCCATTTGCATTTATATATTCAGGAATATTCTAACACAAACATGACCTCACTTATTTACAACAGCAACATAATATTGATAGGTACACACATACACACACGCTAACGCACACAGAAGCAAATCAAAGAGCTCCCAGATACATCCATGAATGTATGTGTGTAGCAGAAGGTTAAAGGGGAACCTGTAGAACTGTCAGTGGATATATTAGATGTGCATGTGTACCTGAAGGTCAAAAGAGAACCTGTAGAACTGTCAGTGGATATATAAGATGTGCTGTGTATCTGTGGGTTAAAGGGGAACCTGTAGAACTGTCAGTGGATATATAAGATGTGCATGTGTACCTGAAGGTCAAAGGGGAACCTGTAGAACTGTCAGTGGATATATAAGATGTACTGTGTATCTGAGGGTTAAAGGGGAACCTGTAGAACTGTCAGTGGATATATAAGATGTGCATGTGTATCTGAGGGTTAAAGGGGAACCTGTAGAACTGTCAGTGGATATATAAGATGTACTGTGTATCTGAGGGTTAAAGGGGAACCTGTAGAACTGTCAGTGGATATATAAGATGTACTGTGTATCTGAGGGTTAAAGGGAACCTGTAGAACTGTCAGTGGATATATAAGATGTACTGTGTATCTGAGGGTTAAAGGGAACCTGTAGAACTGTCAGTGGATATATAAGATGTACTGTGTATCTGAGGGTTAAAGGGGAACCTGTAGAACTGTCAGTGGATATATAAGATGTACTGTGTATCTGAGGGTTAAAGGGGAACCTGTAGAACTGTCAGTGGATATATAAGATGTACTGTGTATCTGTGGGTTAAAGGGGAACCTGTAGAACTGTCAGTGGATATATTAGATGTGCATGTGTACCTGAAGGTTAAAGGGGAACCTGTAGAACTGTCAGTGGATATATAAGATGTGCTGTGTATCTGTGGGTTAAAGGGGAACCTGTAGAACTGTCAGTGGATATATAAGATGTGCATGTGTACCTGAAGGTCAAAGGGGAACCTGTAGAACTGTCAGTGGATATATAAGATGTACTGTGTATCTGAGGGTTAAAGGGGAACCTGTAGAACTGTCAGTGGATATATAAGATGTACATGTGTATCTGAGGGTTAAAGGGGAACCTGTAGAACTGTCAGTGGATATATAAGATGTACTGTGTATCTGAGGGTTAAAGGGGAACCTGTAGAACTGTCAGTGGATATATAAGATGTACTGTGTATCTGAGGGTTAAAGGGGAACCTGTAGAACTGTCAGTGGATATATAAGATGTACTGTGTATCTGAGGGTCAAAGGGGAACCTGTAGAACTGTCAGTGGATATATAAGATGTGCATGTGTATCTGAAGGTCAAAGGGGAACCTGTAGAACTGTCAGTGGATATATTAGATGTGCATGTGTACCTGAAGGTCAAAGGGGAACCTGTAGAACTGTCAGTGGATATATTAGATGTGCATGTGTACCTGAAGATCAAAGGGGAACCTGTAGAACTGTCAGTGGATATATTAGATGTACTGTGTATCTGTGGGTTAAAGGGGAACCTGTAGAACTGTCAGTGGATATATTAGATGTGCATGTGTACCTGAAGATCAAAGGGGAACCTGTAGAACTGTCAGTGGATATATTAGATGTGCTGTGTATCTGTGGGTTAAAGGGGAACCTGTAGAACTGTCAGTGGATATATTAGATGTGCATGTGTACCTGAAGATCAAAGGGGAACCTGTAGAACTGTCAGTGGATATATTAGATGTGCTGTGTACCTGAAGATCAAAGGGGAACCTGTAGAACTGTCAGTGGATATATTAGATGTGCATGTGTACCTGAAGGTCAAAGGGGAACCTGTAGAACTGTCAGTGGATATATTAGATGTGCATGTGTACCTGAAGGTCAAAGGGGAACCTGTAGAACTGTCAGTGGATATATTAGATGTGCATGTGTACCTGAAGGTCAAAGGGGAACCTGTAGAACTGTCAGTGGATATATAAGATGTACTGTGTATCTGTGGGTTAAAGGGGAACCTGTAGAACTGTCAGTGGATATATTAGATGTGCATGTGTACCTGAAGGTCAAAGGGGAACCTGTAGAACTGTCAGTGGATATATAAGATGTGCTGTGTACCTGAAGGTCAAAGGGGAACCTGTAGAACTGTCAGTGGATATATTAGATGTGCTGTGTATCTGTGGGTTAAAGGGGAACCTGTAGAACTGTCAGTGGATATATTAGATGTGCATGTGTACCTGAAGGTCAAAGGGGAACCTGTAGAACTGTCAGTGGATATATTAGATGTGCTGTGTACCTGAAGATCAAAGGGGAACCTGTAGAACTGTCAGTGGATATATTAGATGTGATGTGTACCTGAAGATCAAAGGGGAACCTGTAGAACTGTCAGTGGATATATTACATGTGCTGTGTACCTGAAGATCAAAGGGGAACCTGTAGAACTGTCAGTGGATATATTAGATGTGCTGTGTATCTGTGGGTTAAAGGGGAACCTGTAGAACTGTCAGTGGATATATTAGATGTGCATGTGTACCTGAAGATCAAAGGGAACCTGTAGAACTGTCAGTGGATATATTAGATGTGCTGTGTATCTGAGAGGGTTAAAGGGAACCTGTAGAACTGTCAGTGGATATATTAGATGTACTGTGTATCTGTGGGTTAAAGGGAACCTGGAGAACTGTCAGTGGATATATAAGATGTGCATGTGTACCTGAAGGTCAAAGGGAACCTGTAGAACTGTCAGTGGATATATAAGATGTGCTGTGTACCTGAAGGTCAAAGGGAACCTGTAGAACTGTCAGTGGATATATTAGATGTGCTGTGTATCTGTGGGTTAAAGGGGAACCTGTAGAACTGTCAGTGGATATATTAGATGTGCATGTGTACCTGAAGATCAAAGGGGAACCTGTAGAACTGTCAGTGGATATATTAGATGTGCTGTGTATCTGTGGGTTAAAGGGGAACCTGTAGAACTGTCAGTGGATATATTAGATGTGCATGTGTACCTGAAGATCAAAGGGGAACCTGTAGAACTGTCAGTGGATATATTAGATGTGCTGTGTACCTGAAGATCAAAGGGGAACCTGTAGAACTGTCAGTGGATATATTAGATGTGCATGTGTACCTGAAGGTCAAAGGGGAACCTGTAGAACTGTCAGTGGATATATTAGATGTGCATGTGTACCTGAAGATCAAAGGGGAACCTGTAGAACTGTCAGTGGATATATTAGATGTGCATGTGTACCTGAAGGTCAAAGGGGAACCTGTAGAACTGTCAGTGGATATATTAGATGTGCATGTGTACCTGAAGGATATATAAGATGTACTGTGTATCTGTGGGTTAAAGGGGAACCTGTAGAACTGTCAGTGGATATATTAGATGTGCATGTGTACCTGAAGGTCAAAGGGGAACCTGTAGAACTGTCAGTGGATATATAAGATGTGCTGTGTACCTGAAGGTCAAAGGGGAACCTGTAGAACTGTCAGTGGATATATTAGATGTGCTGTGTATCTGTGGGTTAAAGGGGAACCTGTAGAACTGTCAGTGGATATATTAGATGTGCATGTGTACCTGAAGGTCAAAGGGGAACCTGTAGAACTGTCAGTGGATATATTAGATGTGCTGTGTACCTGAAGATCAAAGGGGAACCTGTAGAACTGTCAGTGGATATATTAGATGTGCATGTGTACCTGAAGATCAAAGGGGAACCTGTAGAACTGTCAGTGGATATATTAGATGTGCTGTGTACCTGAAGATCAAAGGGGAACCTGTAGAACTGTCAGTGGATATATTAGATGTGCTGTGTATCTGTGGGTTAAAGGGGAACCTGTAGAACTGTCAGTGGATATATTAGATGTGCATGTGTACCTGAAGATCAAAGGGGAACCTGTAGAACTGTCAGTGGATATATTAGATGTGCTGTGTATCTGAGGGTTAAAGGGGAACCTGTAGAACTGTCAGTGGATATAATAGATGTGCTGTGTATCTGAGGGTTAAAGGGGAACCTGTAGAACTGTCAGTGGATATATTAGATGTACTGTGTATCTGTGGGTTAAAGGGGAACCTGGAGAACTGTCAGTGGACATATAAGATGTGCATGTGTACCTGAAGGTCAAAGGGGAACCTGTAGAACTGTCAGTGGATATATAAGATGTGCTGTGTACCTGAAGGTCAAAGGGGAACCTGTAGAACTGTCAGTGGATATATTAGATGTGCTGTGTATCTGTGGGTTAAAGGGGAACCTGTAGAACTGTCAGTGGATATATTAGATGTGCATGTGTACCTGAAGGTCAAAGGGGAACCTGTAGAACTGTCAGTGGATATATTAGATGTGCTGTGTACCTGAAGATCAAAGGGGAACCTGTAGAACTGTCAGTGGATATATTAGATGTGCTGTGTACCTGAAGATCAAAGGGGAACCTGTAGAACTGTCAGTGGATATATTAGATGTGCTGTGTACCTGAAGATCAAAGGGGAACCTGTAGAACTGTCAGTGGATATATTAGATGTGCTGTGTATCTGTGGGTTAAAGGGGAACCTGTAGAACTGTCAGTGGATATATTAGATGTGCATGTGTACCTGAAGATCAAAGGGGAACCTGTAGAACTGTCAGTGGATATATTAGATGTGCTGTGTATCTGAGGATCAAAGGGGAACCTGTAGAACTGTCAGTGGATATATTAGATGTGCATGTGTACCTGAAGGTCAAAGGGGAACCTGTAGAACTGTCAGTGGATATATTAGATGTGCTGTGTATCTGAGGGTTAAAGGGGAACCTGTAGAACTGTCAGTGGATATATTAGATGTGCTGTGTATCTGAGGGTTAAAGGGGAACCTGTAGAACTGTCAGTGGATATATTAGATGTACTGTGTATCTGTGGGTTAAAGGGGAACCTGTAGAACTGTCAGTGGACATATTAGATTTGCATGTGTACCTGAAGGTCAAAGGGGAACCTGTAGAACTGTCAGTGGATATAAGATGTGCATGTGTACCTGAAGGTCAAAGGGGAACCTGTAGAACTGACAGTGGATATATAAGATGTGCTGTGTATCTGAGGGTTAAAGGGGAACCTGTAGAACTGTCAGTGGATATATAAGATGTGCTGTGTATCTGTGGGTTAAAGGGGAACCTGCAGAACTGTCAGTGGATATATAAGATGTACTGTGCATCTGAGGGTTAAAGGGGAACCTGTAGAACTGTCAGTGGATATATAAGATGTGCATGTGTATCTGAGGGTTAAAGGGGAACCTGTAGAACTGTCAGTGGATATATTAGATGTGCTGTGTATCTGTGGGTTAAAGGGGAACCTGTAGAACTGTCAGTGGATATATTAGATGTGCATGTGTACCTGAAGATCAAAGGGGAACCTGTAGAACTGTCAGTGGATATATAAGATGTGCTGTGTACCTGAAGATCAAAGGGGAACCTGTAGAACTGTCAGTGGATATATTAGATGTGCATGTGTACCTGAAGATCAAAGGGGAACCTGTAGAACTGTCAGTGGATATATAAGATGTGCTGTGTATCTGTGGGTTAAAGGGGAACCTGTAGAACTGTCAGTTGATATATTAGATGTGCTGTGTATCTGTGGGTTAAAGGGGAACCTGTAGAACTGTAAGTGGATATATTAGATGTGCATGTGTACCTGAAGATCAAAGGGGAACCTGTAGAACTGTCAGTGGATATATAAGATGTGCTGTGTATCTGTGGGTTAAAGGGGAACCTGCTGAACTGTCAGTGGATATATTAGATGTGCATGTGTACCTGAAGGTCAAAGGGGAACCTGTAGAACTGACAGTGGATATATAAGATGTGCTGTGTATCTGAGGGTTAAAGGGGAACCTGTAGAACTGTCAGTGGATATATAAGATGTGCTGTGTATCTGTGGGTCAAAGGGGAACCTGTAGAACTGACAGTGGATATATTAGATGTGCATGTGTACCTGAAGGTCAAAGGGGAACCTGTAGAACTGACAGTGGATATATAAGATGTGCTGTGTATCTGGAGATGTGCTGTGGTCTAAAGGGGAACCTGTAGAACTGTCAGTGGATATATTAGATGTGCTGTGTATCTGTGGGTTAAAGGGGAACCTGCAGAACTGTCAGTGGATATATTAGATGTGCATGTGTACCTGAAGGTCAAAGGGGAACCTGTAGAACTGACAGTGGATATATTAGATGTGCATGTGTACCTGAAGGTCAAAGGGGAACCTGTAGAACTGACAGTGGATATATAAGATGTGCTGTGTATCTGTGGGTTAAAGGGGAACCTGTAGAACTGTCAGTGGATATATTAGATGTACTGTGTATCTGTGGGTTAAAGGGGAACCTGTAGAACTGTCAGTGGATATATTAGATGTGCATGTGTACCTGAAGGTCAAAGGGGAACTTGCTGAATTGTCAGTGGATATATAAGATGTGCCTGTGTATCTGAGGGTTAAAGGGGAACCTGCTGAACTGTCAGCCGCTAGCCGACCAGTCCTTGTTGTACCAATTAATGCCGAGCGCCAGGCAGGGATCAACAAGTACCACATTTTAACGTCTTTAGGTATGACGCGGCCGGGGTCGAACCCGCGATCTTCCGCTCTCCAGGCGGACGCTCTAACCTGTGGCGGTCCTGTGTACTCTGAAAACATATGTGTCACGTCTGATAAATGGCATGATTTTACTGACCATGTGTTGTTTTTCGTACCTAATGCGACGGAGCTGACAAGCGATTCCAGATCTGTCAAGTGCAAACATCATATATTTGTTTAATCCGGTTTGAAAACAACATGTCTATTCTTTAAATTTTGTTTTTAGAATTTGTGTTAAATGTACTGAAAATGTACATGTGGAATTACGTCTTGCATCAGTTAACGTGGGTCAGTCCATTGTTACACGTTGGTCAGTTCATTGTTACACGTGGGTCAGTTCATTGTTACACATCTGTTCAGCTGGAGTTTGTGATAGCTGTCGGATCATGAACTGGATGATGTCATGAATAGATGACTAAACTTTACAGCCTGCTGCCTTTTGTCGGAATAAATGTTACATGTTGGGATAACGTTAAACGTAGACACTAAAACGTGAATTTTACAGTTGTGTACAAAATGTGATGCCATGAGATACGTGCAGACACGCGTGTACTTGGAGTGTATATATGCTGGATAGGATTGGTTTGTTTGTTGTTTAACGCTGCGCTCAGACATATTCTTGCTATGTGGCGGCGATCTGTAAATAGTCGAGTCTGGACCAGACAATCCAGTGATCAACAGCAGGATTGAATGTCCCATAGTAGAAGTAGCAACATCCTGTCTTCTTGCGATGTCTCAGCAGGAAATCCGCAAACAAAATAATGCACAGGATTGTTACAGTGTCTTCCATTAGTAAACAACAGCGACTGCAACAGAGAGGGAGCTTGATATGTGATCAGCGAGTCGGCGGATGGAATGATCTAACAGAATCCTCCGCGACATTGTTGACTGGAAGTTCCAGCAGCAAGTCATTGTTATCCAAACAATGTGTCACATACATACAACAGATACATGTTCAATGTTTCATCTTTATTTCACGCATAGATTGAAAAATACATAATATATGTTTGTTCATTTGCAATTAGGAAAAATCGACAAAAGCATAACGCAATGATAAAGCATGTGGTCATAAGAATAATAGCGCACATGATTCTAAATCATAACCAGTTATCTAACAGATGGGGAGAAGGCGACAGTAAGTAGTGCACTTGTGTCCAATTCCGTTGTCTTTTTGGACAATAAAATACGATTGAAACAATCCCAGAAAAAATCCGTCGTTACTATTGTGAGGACAAAATGCAAAAAATATTTGAAAAAACGGAACAATGTTTTGGGACGTGCTTGATGTCCTGAATCAAATATGTCGTAAAAAGGAATGAAATTGTTTGGCTACACCCTTCAGAGAATTAACTGACATGAACTGTAGAGATAAAAAAAAATATCCTGTCTACAACACAACAATCTCAGGTAAACCCCGCTTCTTTTCCTCCAAAGATTCTTATTTTGTGTCCCTATACAATGTCTATGGTGACTATATTACATGACAACTAAGCTTTGAACGTTTATGTGAAATACAAGAATGTTGCAGCATGTCAGCTCATAATCTATATGGAATATTTGCATAAAATTAAACACAAATATGTAGTAATGTGTAAGATATAGGTTTTGTGTAGTTTTATTCTAGGATATCATCTAGGCTAAACTTAAACGTTTGTGCTCAGTGATACATTGATGCATGCTTTGAGTCGTGTAATCAGTCACTGTTACGTGTACACGTACATTAAAGGTTTATAGGCATTTTTTAGTGTTCACAAATAAAACTGACATGTGATTATTTTAGCACTGACCAAACACATTGTACACAACTAAAATGAATCATGACTGTCGCTGTGACAGCAGCAGGAAGGAAAGCTTACCATCCTGTACTGGGGTTTGATTAGCGACAGGTCAGTTTATCACTGCACTCTAATTACGGTCTGAGCACACGAAATGATTAAATGAAAAGCTCTTGTTGGCGTACTACGAAAACATCAGACTGGTCCCCTCGATCATTCTGAAAATAACCAAACATGACAACAGAGACTACACACGAGGAGGCAAACATGTCCGATTACTCGTTCAACAAATCCTGACTACGTTTAAAGTTATAAACACATCAGGAGTTGTGTTGTTTTGTATAGATGCGAACTTATTTCCTTGTCGGAGATGTCCTTCCTGCACACTTCTTAGAGACTAGTATCACTTCAAGGCGTGTAAACATCAGCCTTCAGCAATTTTATCTTTTCTAAGATTTAGGAAGAATGCCTTGAAATAATTAATAGAAAGTCTATTATGGTTATTGGTCAAATAATACTTATTGTTTCCACATCACAGAATCAGAATGTGCACATGTGAGTTATCTATGTATTTTCCAATACATGTATCAATTGTGTGTGGCCTTCAAAACATTACCTATAGCTCGTTTCCTGATCCGAACGGTTGACTGGTTTGTAATTGACTTTTCTTGCATAGACTTGAACATAACTCTGTAGCTAAGGGTGGAAAAGAAAACATTTAGAAGCCCATATGGCAATGGCAACATCCCTGTGAAAGGTGGTATGAGAGACTGTGATGCATTAGTGATACCGTTTCCAGGATAAAGATTTGTTCTTCTGATTTAAGGTTTCACTGAAACAGTATGATGTTTGGCCTTCTTGTAAATTACGATATGACTCTTGTAAATTACGATATGATATTCCCTCACATAGCAATGTCGGAATGACAAGGAATGTTATCACCTTTCATTGTTGTCAATTACGATATGACTCTGTGATATTCCCTCACATAGCAATGTCGGAATGACAAGGAATGTTATCACCTTTCATTGTTGTCAATTACGATATGACTCTGTGATATTCCCTCACATAGCAATGTCGGAATGACAAGGAATGTTATCACCTTTCATTGTTGTCAATTACGATATGACTCTGTGATATTCCCTCACATAGCAATGTCGGAATGACAAGGAATGTTATCGCCTTTCATTGTTGTAAATTACGATATGACTCTGTGATATTCCCTCACATAGCAATGTCCGAATGACAAGGAATGTTATCACCTTTCATTGTTGTCAATTACGATATGACTCTGTGATATTCCCTCACATAGCAATGTCGGAATGACAAGGAATGTTATCACCTTTCATTGTTGTCAATTACGATATGACTCTGTGATATTCCCTCACATAGCAATGTCGGAATGACAAGGAATGTTATCGCCTTTCATTGTTGTAAATTACGATATGACTCTGTGATATTCCCTCACATAGCAATGTCCGAATGACAAGGAATGTTGTCACCTTTCATTGTTTCTCTGAAGCAGGCAAGAACCTTCAGAACGTTTCTTGTAGGCTGAAGTTATTCTGTCACTGTCGGACGGAGAGTAGTCCTGCCACCCTCGCTGCTTGTCCTCCCTCTGCCACAGATAGCTGTCAGCCACTCGGGCTATGTGTTGTTCTGCAGGTCACATGGCAACATGCTATACATCAAACATATCAGTTCCATATGTCCAGATTAATTCTTTATCGAATGCGTAACTGGTCATGTTATCTAATAGACGTTTCTCGTCAAGCAAAATATAACTGTTTATGTTATCTACCAGACGTACCTGCTCCAGTAAAAGGTAACTGTTCATGCTATCTACCAGACGTACCTGCTCCAGTGAAAGGTAACTGTTCATGTTATCTACCAGACGTACATGCTCCAGTGAAAGGTAACTGTTTATGCTATCTACCAGACGTACCTGGTCCAGTGAAAGGTAACTGTTCATGTTATCTACCAGTGTTACCTTGTTGTACAGAGCAAGGTAATTTTTCATGCTATCTACCAGACGTACCTGCTCCAGTGAAAGGTAACTGTTCATGTTATCTACCAGACGTACCTGGTCCAGTGAAAGGTAACTGTTCATGCTATCTACCAGACGTACCTGGTCCAGTGAAAGGTAACTGTTCATGTTATCTACCAGTGCTACCTTGTACAGAGCAAGGTAACTGTTCATGCTATCTACCAGGCTTACCTGCTCCAGTGAAAGGTAACTGTTCATGCTATCTACCAGACGTACCTGCTCCAGTGAAAGGTAACTGTTCATGTTATCTACCAGACGTACCTGGTCCAGTGAAAGGTAACTGTTCATGTTATCTACCAGTGTTACCTTGTTGTACAGAGCAAGGTAACTGTTCATGTTATCTACCAGTGTTACCTTGTTGTTCAGAGCAAGGTAACTGTTCATGTTATCTACCAGTGTTACCTTGTTGTACGGTGCTAGGTAACTGTTCATACTATCTACCAGACGTACCTGGTCCAGTGAAAAGTAACTGTTCATGTTATCTACCAGTGTTACCTTGTTGTACAGAGCAAGGTAACTGTTCATGTTATCTACCAGTGTTACCTTGTTGTACGGTGCTAGGTAACTGTTCATACTATCTACCAGACGTACCTGGTCCAGTGAAAGGTAACTGTTCATGTTATCTACCAGTGTTACCTTGTTGTACAGAGCAAGGTAATTTTTCATGCTATCTACCAGACGTACCTGCTCCAGTGAAAGGTAACTGTTCATGTTATCTACCAGACGTACCTGGTCCAGTGAAAGGTAACTGTTTATGCTATCTACCAGACGTACCTGGTCCAGCGAAAGGTAACTGTTCATGTTATCTACCAGTGTTACCTTGTACAGAGCAAGGTAACTGTTCATGCTATCTACCAGACTTACCTGCTCCAGTGAAAGGTAACTGTTCATGTTATCTACCAGACGTACCTGCTCCAGTGAAAGGTAACTGTTCATGTTATCTACCAGACGTACCTGGTCCAGTGAAAGGTAACTGTTCATGTTATCTACCAGTGTTACCTTGTTGTACAGAGCAAGGTAACTGTTCATGTTATCTACCAGTGTTACTGTTTGTTGATCAGAGCAAGGTAACTGTTCATGTTATCTACCAGTGTTACCTTGTTGTACGGTGCTGAAGGTAACTGTTCATACTATCTACCAGACGTACCTGGTCCAGTGAAAAGTAACTGTTCATGTTATCTACCAGTGTTACCTTGTTGTACAGAGCAAGGTAACTGTTCATGTTATCTACCAGTGTTACCTTGTTGTACGGTGCAAGGTAACTGTTCATACTATCTACCAGACGTACCTGGTCCAGTGAAAGGTAACTGTTCATGTTATCTACCAGTGTTACCTTGTTGTACAGAGCAAGGTAACTGTTCATGTTATCTACCAGTGTTACCTTGTTGTACGGTGCTAGGTAACTGTTCATACTATCTACCAGACGTACCTGGTCCAGTGAAAAGTAACTGTTCATGTTATCTACCAGTGTTACCTTGTTGTACAGAGCAAGGAAACTGTTCATGCTATCTACCAGACGTACCTGCTCCAGTGAAAGGTAATTGTTCATGTTATCTACCAGTGTAACCTTGTTGTACAGAGCAAGGTAACTGTTCATGTTATCTACCAGACGTACCTGCTCCAGTGAAAGGTAACTGTTCATGTTATCTACCAGACGTACCTGCTCCAGTGAAAGGTAACTGTTCATGTTATCTACCAGACGTACCTGCTCCAGTCAAAGGTAACTGTTCATGTTATCTACCAATGTTACCTTGTTGTACAGAGCAAGGTAACTGTTCATGTTATCTACCAGTGTTACCTTGTTGTTCAGAGCAAGGAAACTGTTCATGCTATCTACCAGACGTACCTGGTCCAGTGAAAGGTAACTGTTCATGTTATCTACCAGTGTTACCTTGTTGTTCAGAGCAAGGAATCTGTTCATGCTATCTACCAGACATACCTGCTCCAGTGAAAGGTAATTGTTCATGTTATCTACCAGACGTACCTGCTCCAGTGAAAGGTAACTGTTCATGTTATCTACCAGACGTACCTGGTCCAGTGAAAGGTAATTGTTCATGTTATCTACCAGACGTACCCGCTCCAGTGAAAGGTAACTGTTCATGTTATCTACCAGACGTACCTGCTCCAGTCAAAGGTAACTGTTCATGTTATCTAACAGTGTTACCTTCTTGTACAGAGCAAGGTAACTGTTCATGCTATCTACCAGACGTACCTGGTCCAGTGCAAGGTAACTGTTCATGTTATCTACCAGTGTTACCTTGTTGTTCAGAGCAAGGAAACTGTTCATGCTATCTACCAGACGTACCTGCTCCAGTGAAAGGTAACTGTTCATGTTATCTACCAGTGTTACCTTGTTGTTCAGAGCAAGGAAACTGTTCATGCTATCTACCAGACATACCTGCTCCAGTGAAAGGTAACTGTTCATGTTATCTACCAGTGTTACCTTGTTGTACAGAGCAAGGAAACTGTTCATACTATCTACCAGACGTACCTGGTCCAGTGAAAGGTAACTGTTCATACTATCTACCAGACGTACCTGGTCCAGTCCTCGACAACTGTTCATGTCTTGCTGGCTGTTCACCATCTGGTTTAGCTGTTGACTCAAGAAGACAAGCGACAGGATCTCTGTGAAAGTGAGAGATAGCTAATTTGGTTCAGCGTTGCTTTCAACAGTACTTAAGAGATATCCCTCAAGAATCAAACCCATTGAACTCCAATTAAGAAGGCGAACTGGCATGTCGGACATGAACCGTGACATACGGATGGTAACAAGGCGAACAAGGTGAACCGGGCGAGGAGCGACTCACAAGAAAGGATACGTTTCGGAGAACTCACCGGATAGATAAATCAAATTTGTTGGTTTCCCCGAACCTGTATACATATATATTTCCGTTCTGCCACCGCACCTACAAAACAGAAGAGCTTATGTGTAGAATATCAACCTCACTAATGTCTATTAAGCTTTGTAAAATCCATTTGCAATAACTTTTAAATATGATCTCTCTCTCTCTCTCTCTCTCTCTCGCTGCTGTGTTTTGTTGACAGAGGGCCGTCCCCGTTAAACATATATTATGTTAAATGACTAAAAAAGACAGAGGACGACGTTTGTCTTTAATTTACTTGTGCAAATTTACACATTTGTTTGATGTGTCCCAGAAACTGTTACTAATAGATTTGTCTTATAGACAGTTCACATTACATGGTTGAATGGCGACACATCCTACCATGACTTTCCCATCCATGTTTACTCTGATGATGGCACCTGTACCGCCACGACCGCCATCCTGGTCTCCATACGTCATGTGCCAATCAGGACCTGGTATGGACAGTCATTAATATAACTACTACATACTTTGGATGTGTCGTCATATGACTAAGATGTATCGTCATATGAATCAGATGTATCATCGTATAGCTCATGTGTATCGTCATATAAATCAGATGTAACTTGAGTGAGTGTGTGAGTGAGTTTAGTTTTACGCCGCTTTTAGCAATATTCCAGAGGGGGGGGGGGGACAACAGAAATGGGCTTCACACATTGTACCCATGTGGGGAATCGAACCCGAGCGAACGCTTTAACCACTAGGCTACCCAACCTCTCCACATGTAACTTGACATAACCCATATGTGTCGTGATATGAATCAGAAGTGTCCTGACATACCCCCAGCATATGGACATACATATTACACGTATCATCGAATAACTGAAAGGTATTTTCATGTTGATATACGTCCCACCTCTTATGTGTGTCGTCAGATATGTCAGACATGTGGACATTTGGGGCCTGATCAAGGAAAGGTACGAACGTTACGTAGAAAGTGCGCATAATGAACACAAGTATTTGGCTTTATGGTCGTCCTATATACACGTTATCTAACTTCATTGTTTTGTCTCAGCCTCTGACCTCTCTCTACTTGCAAGCCGACGTCAACGTTTCCGCCGCCGTCCAGGACTCGCGGTTGGTCATGTACCTCAGTGACGTCATAGCATCCATTTTGACCAAATCTGTACACATTAAGATGGCCGCTGTCCCAGTATACCCACACGTACTCTGGCAGTAAATAAGATGACGTAGTTAGTACAACGAAAACTATTAAGCATCAGAGATGACAAACGGTGGACGGTTCTAAAACGCCCCATAATCCTATGTAATGAAATATTATGATATAACCCTCGATATACTTAAAGTGTTTTGGTAAATACCGTCAGGGTTGTCATGATTGTCAGTCATTTGCGATAAACAATAACCGACTGTTACAAATCTATCTAAACTGTTAGGATTCTGGTTTCAATACAGCGACTTACTGGCGTCCAGTCCGTGATTAATGATCGTTCCCGCCCCTTCCGTATCCTGGTTGCCCCACACCCAGTCTTGGCTGCGCACTACTCGTGTACCCAAAGAGGGGAGACTTGGAGCTTCGTATATGTTCGCAAACGAGTATTTGGAACCGTAAACAATGGCCACTTTGTATAGATGTTCCTGTGTAAGGTCTCTAACGTCCTCCTGAAGACAAGCAGTTGTTATGACATTAATCAGGTTGTATCTTCTTGTCAGAAAGACAAGTGAGTGAGTGAGTGAGTGAGTGAGTGAGTTTAGTTTCACGCTGCTTTTAGCATTATTCCAGCAACATCACAGCGGAGAAAGACAAGTAAATGTTGTATAGTCACTAAGGGATGTACGCTGATGTACAGTGGCATTAAACGTTGTGCTCTGGAGAGGTTTTTTTAAGCAAGGTTTTATTTGTTCGTTTCTTGTTAGACGTATCAATATCCCACCAATACGACGACGGTCTGAAAATAATGACTTCGAGGATGACATGAGGATGCAACTATGCAAATGGAAACAAGTCAGTGAGCTACACCATATGATTCCATTACTCAGCATGGGTTGCTGATTCCTGACCGCATCATCACTGGTTACTCTCGTCACATGATGTTCAGCTAATTATATAAATGCATCCCACATAACTTATGTGTGGCGAGAGTTGTGTGCATTTCTCTTGACTTGACTCTTGACGCCTTACACCATCGAATGTATAAACTTCCTTTATATCACATCGTTTAGCTTACCATCTCGTCCTGTTTAGTATCGGGTGAAAGCTGGATGGTCAGTTGCCTTGACCTCAAGTCTTCAAACATGGCAGAGTCCATGCGTTTGTCTCTGATCAGTTCCAAGGAATCCCCAGCAAGTTTCTACAAAGGTAATTCAGAAATAAAAACAAACAGCACGGATGTGTCCGTTTAGTGGCAAATGTCAGTAGTATGTGATCAATTATATCAGGTGTCTGAACATCTCTACTTACATGCAGCCGTTGATGTCGGCAGAGCTTCCTGATGGCGCTGCCCTCAATCAGCATACCTCCACATAGCCTTCCCATTGACAGCAGGAAACTCTGGGTGGGGAATGATTAACAGTTGAACAGGGAATATATCAAATAGAAAATGTCAAGCAAGGTGGTGAGGGATTACATGTCACGTGTTGTAATAAATATCCACTCCCAACGAAACCCGTTTAAACAATTTCAGATATATGATATAGCTGATCATGGTTTATACAGTGGGAAATCAGAATGTCTTTCTTTGAAAGTATTGAGGCCATGGAGATTCTTCCTCGAGGTAACGTATAGCAGTACATATTTTTGAAGCTTACTTTTTTAATATCTCTCTGGTTGAACCACATATGGCAAACTGATACCGTGCATGGTTGATATACCCACATTCTCTTTTGTAAATTTGCTTTCCATAGCAATTGTTTTCTAAAAGCCCAAACGTATGATACCTTAATGGTACACTGTCACAATGCAACTAAACATGATACAGTTAAAGTGAGTGAGTGAGTTTAGTTTTACACCTCACTCAGCAATATTCCAGCTTGATGGCGGCGGTCTGTAAATAATCGAGTCTGGGCCAGACAATCCAGTGATCAACAGCATGAGCATCGATCTGCGCAATTGGGAAGTGATGACATATGTCAACCAAGTAAGGGAGCCTGATCAGCCGATCCCGTTAGACGCCTCGCACGACAAGCATGGGTTAAAAGCAAGGCACATTCTAACCCGGACCTTCACGGGTTGATATAGTTAAAGATGGTTATTCATCTTTACACATAACTTCACGAACAATGTACCAACCATATCGGACCGACCCACTGGGACCACCACAACTGGGTGTGGCACATAATCCCCGGGCTGTCTCTGTCTCAACTGGCTGAATGTGTGGGTCAGGACCGCCTTCTCCTGAAACAGTGGAATTGACACGTAACGGTTTATAACACCAGCATAGCCGTACACAAGTCCATGTCTAGGCATTATCAATGGGCTAACCTGTTCACTAGTCACATGTCCATCCTGCGCAGCCTCTGGTAGTGTGCCTGTGGCCAGACCGTCCGTGATGATTATAAATCTTGGTGGGAGTTTCAGGCTGCCTCCGATGTTAAGTATTCCTCCTGAAGACAAATAGTAACATATTCCAGCGTGAAAACCCTCTGATGTTAAGTATTTATTCTGAAGACAAATAGTAACATATTCCTGCATGAAACCCCTATGATGTTAAGTATTTCTTCGGAAGACAAATAGTAACATATTCCAGCATGAAAACCCTCCGATGTTAAGTATTTCTACTGAAGACAAATAGTAACATATTCCAGCATGAAAACCCTCTGATGTTAAGTATTCCTTCTGAAGACAAATAGTAACATATTCCAGCATGAAAATGTTAAGTATTCCTTCTGATGACAAATAGTAACATATTCCAGCATGAAAACTCTCTGATGTTAAGTATTCATCCTGGAGACAAATAGTAACATATTCCAGCATGAAAACCCTCTGATGTTAAGTATTCCTTCTGAAGACAAATAGTAACATATTCCAGCGTGAAAACCCTCTGATATTAAGTATTTCTTCTGAAGACAAATAGTAACATATTCCAGCATGAAAACCCTCTGATGTTAAGTATTTCTTCTGAAGACAAATAGTAACATATTCCAGCATGAAAACCCTCTGATGTTAAGTATTCCTCCTGAAGACAAATAGTAACATATTCCAGCATGAAAACCCTCTGATGTTAAGTATTCCTCGTGAAGACAAATAGTAACATAGTCCAGCATGAAAACCCTCTGATGTTAAGTAATTCTACTGAAGACAAATAGTAACATATTCCAGCAGGAAAACTCTCTGATGTTAAGCATTCATCCTGAAGACAAATAGTAACATATACCAGCATGAAAACCCTCCGATGTTAAGTAATTCTACTGAAGACAAATAGTAACATATTCCAGCATGAAAACCCTCTGATGTTAAGTATTTCTTCTGAAGACAAATAGTAACATATTCCAGCAGGAAAACTCTCTGATGTTAAGTATTCCTCCTGAAGACAAATAGTAACATATTCCAGCATGAAAACCCTCTGATGTTAAGTATTCCTCGTGAAGACAAATAGTAACATATTCCAGCATGAACACCCTCTGATGTTAAGTATGTCTTCTGAAGACAAATAGTAACATATTCCAGCATGAAAACCTATGTCGAAACGTCGCCTCCACAGAATAAAAGAAGTTGTATATCCATATAATTGTCATTATTCTTCATCAACTCAACTTCTAAAATGCCCATCAAACAGGACGACAGAATCTGCTTACTAAGATACAGACAGCAGATATGATTACATAGAATTGAAATGTATTATGTAGACTAAGGGTTGACAACTTCCGTCAAAGTGTACCCCATCTAACGATATACCGGCCATGTAGGTGACGGCGTTGTACATACCTCTTCCTGTGCACGTCATCGCTACCAGAAGCCCTTCATTCAGCGGGGATGGCCCTCCTGGCTTCAGGGTATCTGGGTGGCAAACATATACACATTAGATATACACAAGAACAGGATACCTCTAAATATGCATTCAGAGCAAAGAAAGCAAACACAATCTGACGTCTGACTGACACATTCACTTTACATATTAACACACATTATCTGATAAGGCATGACATCATACCTATAGCATCCCTCAAACTCCCGTAGTCATTTGACAGTTGGTGTAGCACTCGGGCACGACCTCCAAAAGTAACCAGGGCGATATTTTCCTCCATTTCGTATTGTTCCGCGATATCCTCAATGCCTGAATGTACATCAAACATATCTTACTATCACATCACCACACAAAATTTAATCAATTTCTGTCTGTAACTCATTTACAGTACATCATTATATTCAAGCTGAGCTGACAACGATGAATCCGAAAGGGCCTAATAATACTACCACCTAAAACGAATACGTGTATCTGTTCAGCTCTCTGTTATAGGTTAGCTGGCATCCCAGCTGAAAGAAGTACTCGCAAGAAAAAAATTCCTTTGCTTCCAGTTTCTTTTTATAACAAAATCCGCACGTCATCACGGGACATAAGGAGCTGAGTACAAACGTACCGTTTATGAAGTCGTGGAGAATGGTGGTTATTTGCTGGAATGCTTCTCCCTTCACGCTGTCCGATGTGTCGATACAGATGACGGTGTCCAGGGCGGCCTCTACGCTGGGTACAGTGCTCGAGTCTGTAATTTGTTTGTTACTGCTTCAAAAACATGCATTGACCAGATCTGTAATGTCACTCACTAATGCTATATACATATATTTTTGTATCTGTTCGTTGATATTTATCAGAATATTAAAAATAATGGCGGTTTACAGAGCGCAAAATCTCATCTGCCAAGTAAACACTTATGACGTTGCACTTCTGCAACAATGTAGAGCCGATCCAAGGCCCCAGAAACTGTCACAAATCCAGCTTGCCAAACTTAGTCACCAGTCCAACTACTCTGCGCAACTGCATACATCTAATTGGTGCGCCAGAAACGTTCTTTAATGTCTGCTTCGTGGAGCCCCAGGGGAAATAACGGTACCTTCACATTGAGCTTCCGCCACACTCTCCCACATTCTGCTGCTGTCCGCGCTGTCCTGCTCTCCAACCATGCTCTCCAACAGTGTCTGCATCCGCTGCTCTCCGTTTGGTTCATCGCATAGTCGGGTCTTGGTCATTATCACTTGTCTGAAAACAATGACTTTGTCAGTATATGCATAATATTTCTCATCTTAGATCACATAATACTAAAACAACTTGATCTGTAAATAGGTACGATGTTTCAAGGCACTAGGCTATTACAGTGACGGAAGAGCTGCTACTACAGTGGCATTCATTACATTTATATCAAGTGTTTTGACATTCAATACACAGTACATATATTAAAAAACACTTGCCCATCTATGGTATACGATTCTTGCTTCCGGCGATCCCTTCTGCTGATGTCAAAGTTCAGTTCATCCGTCTGTAGATCAGAATACACGTCTCTCTCACTCCAGAGGTCTTCATTTACCGGTCCACTTAATCCAAAATCATCCAGGTCCCCGGCGTGGCTGCCTGTCATCCTTCCAGCTTGTCTTTGTGGTCGAGTGAGGGGTGCAGCTGTCTGCTGCGTCGCAAAATAATTCCCATGAAGAGGACACGTATGCGTTTTATATCTTGTATTCTTGTAAGGATCCACTCCTGACAGGTCATCGTTGTACACATTGCCTGTGTATGTGGTTGGTTGCTTTTGTTTCACAGATGATTGACTGTTATGTTGTGAAGCTTGTGGGTATTTCCCAATTAAATAGTAAGTCGAACGACTGTTGGTGCCGTTGTAAACAGTCGGCTTGTGTTTGGAAGTTCTAAAACGCATTTCTTGTTCCGTTCTTGGAGGAGACAAACTTCTAAGTTCATTGCCATCAATTTCTTTGATGATAGGTCCTTTGCGCTTTTGGTAGTGATATTCGGAATACTCTTCCCCTGACTCACTCTCTACATCAACCTCTTCGTCGTCATTCGTACTCTCTTCTTCCTCTTCACTGACCATGTTCTCTTCTTCCACTTCTGTCACCTTTACGTTCGACTCTTCTTCTTCTGATTCGTCTCTCATTTGATGTCGGTTGACTTCCTCCACAAGTTCCTCTCCACTTTGCGACTCTCCCTTACCCTGCACCTTTACTTCTGTTTGGTGCTCACTCTCATCCTGCGGTCCTATAGATTCGGATTTTGATGGCTCCGTTTCCAAAGAAAATTGCATTAAATCTGGTTCATCAAGAATATCCTTAGCTAGTTGGGGTTCCTCTTTTCGTCGGGATTCCTCCTGTTCACCTTTCTGTGCCAAAACATCTGATATTTGTAACAGAGCCGCTTTGATTTCCTCGTTTTGTCCCTTTTGTTCATAGAACTGAGACTCCATAAAGTGTCGCTGCTCGGCAAGTTCGCTTTCCACGGTCTTAAACCTCACCTCTACCGATGATGGAGCTTTGTGATCCACTTCTATTGTGTCATCGCACATAGTGGAAAGACTTGACCTGCAAGTATGAACAAATACTACTTGTAACTGTCACTTTAGAAACTAGATATATTTAAATATTCTTATACGAAATCTTGACCTGTAAGTATAAACAAATACTAATTGTAACTGTCACTTTAGAAACTAGATATATTTAAATATTCTTATACGAAATCAAAAAGTTTAGAAAGGGTCATTTTAATTATGGAGATATGAACCATGCTGAATCAACTGAATTAAGACTAGGTATGACCCGCGAAGACCCGTTAGAATTGATCTTCAGTAACTCATATGCTCGTAAGAGGCAACTAACGGAATCGGGTGGTCAGGCTCGCTGACTTGGTTGACAATTGGTATCCCCATTGCGTAGATCGATGCTCATGCTGTTGATGACTGGATTGTTTGGCCCAGACTCGACTGTTTACAGACCGCCGCCATCAAGCTGGAATATTGCTGAGTGAGGTGTAAAACTAAACTCACTCACTTAGACCGGGGTATGTCAAACTGGGTATTCATGTTTGGCTATACACTCCTATGCTTGGGTACTCACATGCCTGGGTTTATACTTACATGCTTGCATAATGGTTTTCGTCCGTCTGGCTGCTGTTGTCAGCCTGAAGAGCACACGAATCTCCGTCGCTACCTTGCTCATGTCCAAAACATCCACAGGCGTGTCTCTGGGACAACACTACCTTAGACCCTCTCTTCATGTTTATCTTCAACTGCATCTGGTGCTTGGCGACTGTGCACTGCGTAATGAGTTCTTTCACAAAGCCATGCAGTCTGGTTTTATCTGAAGTTAACCTACTGATGCCGGAATCAAGGCCGTGTTTAAATGTCAGCACCATTGGAGGGTACTGAACCGCGACCAGTTTCATATTGTACGTTGCGAACATTTTTGTAATGAAGTTCTCCAAGACAGTGTGATTAGTGGAAATTCCTATGGCGTAATCAGTGTTGAGAACACCTGAGGAACTATCAGTCGGTACCTGCGAGAGTGTGAGGGTTGACATGTCTACATCAGGGTTTCCTGTCTCGTCCCAGTGAATGCGAAGAAGAACGCCATAATCTGCAATGAAAATTATGTGTGAAGCATAGTCCATACTAGAGGCACATGTGCCTATTCAGATATTGCACATTGAAAGCACACCGTGAAACCCGTGCAGCAGGGAGAGGTGCATGATTTGATGGTATTGTCTGAGGATGTTATCTGTCAGCAAAGAGTAGGGTCAGTACATAATTGAAAATACCTTTAATAAATGTCTGATATCCATTTAATTTACTGATATCTCAAAATGTTACAGAAATATCAATAACATGTTTCGTGATATCTCTAAATGTGTTTAAGATATTACAAAATACCAATTACATTATCTCTATTAGATATATCTTTAATTCATTTCAAGATATCAGCAATTCTTTTCAAGATATCATTGATATGCTTCATCATATCCTTAATTCGTTTCGCGATATCATGAAATTTATTGCAGATATCTATAATTATCTCTGTTCGAGATACCTTCAATTCAATCCAAGATATCTTCAATTGAATTCAGAATATTTCTATTTTCATTCAAGATATCTCTAAAACAATTTAAGATGTCAGTATTTCTTAATGAATGTGAAAACGGCTTTCCATAAGGCCGCGATATGTCTGAAATAATGTCAACGCCTTCGTTCATTGAAATCGTACGGGCGACATCAAACCTTTAACGTCCTGATGTTCCTTGAGAGCTTCAAGCAGATCGATGTTGACGCACACATCAAGCAGACACAGTCTGGGAGGGTCATCCGACGGGTCAGGAGGGTCGGTGTACCGGAAGTAGAGTCGAGGGTCGCTTCGCCGACGCATGTCCATTCTGTACCACGATTTCTATTCACATCATAGCTAGGAATTATCAATTTGCGAAAAATACAGGTATTTTTTTTTCCACTTGGTCTTAAATGTTACATTTCAGGAGTATCAAAAACATTTTTTGCTTTCATTGGTTAACAAAAGGTGGAAGTGGCAGAAACTTGCAGTCCTGGGCCTAGATTTTCGAAGCTCTCTTATCGCTAAGATAGTCGTAAATGCCATACATTAACATTAACTTGCGACTATCTTAGCTTCGAAAATCTAGGCCCTGGGTTCAGTATAAGACAGTCGACAATAAGACATTATCCATAATTAGACAATATCGACATGAAATGTCCCCCGGCGGAATATTGCGAGAAGCGGCATATATCTTCTTTAAACAGTTTGATATATTTACAGCCACATAGTACTCGCAAAAATTTCGAATTTTAGCAGTACTTGCATTTTGTCCTTTTTACACACTGATAGAAGAGGGTAGACATGACAATAGCTGTCACCACTGACAGCGTCAAAGGGAAATAACTTTGTGAGGGTGGTTCTAATTTTGTTTCTTAAAATAGTTCACGGGTTACATTTTTTTATGTTGATATGCATGGTATGTTCAGACTTGCTAATCAAGCAAACATTAATATTGGACATATAACTTTAGGTCTACCCACATAATTTGCTTTATCTGACCCAATATAGCCATTCCACTGTTTACATATTATCTGTATTAACAGAATATCAACATGATGCAAACAACTTCTGGAAATTACCCGAAATAGTGACAGAGACCATACATTTGACTACTGACAACAGAGCTAGCGACACAACCAAATGTGTTTCCTGGTGAGGGAACAGGACACAGCAAGACTGAAAGTAGAACACATCATCACAGAACTGCAATACATCCACGAGCGCATACGCCATTAGAAATCACATCCTGATTGACCAATTCGTACACGTAAAACAAAATGAATTTACCTTGGTTAATCTTTAGCACTGCAAACGATAGAAAACTATAGAAGTTTGTTTCATTACCAAATCGTAGTCTGTAAACACGACGTTTAAAGTTGGAATTTCCATAAAATGTATATTTAGAACTGTGTTGTGCGCTATTTAAGGCTTGACCTTAACCTTGTAGCTACACGTGACAAATACAGCTGGCACACTGCCAACTTCCTGGTACGGCTTGTATTCTCGGAAAGACTGCAATGAACATGGTTAGACGGTTACATGTAATGAGATAACGAAACTAAACAATGACGGTCCAAAGTGTTGTGTCGTGTTGACATCACAGCTGTTCGACTACTGTACACATGCACCGGAGCCTCTAACAATCTGACCCACTCCTTCAACTACCATACAAGAGGCTAAGTTTAAACAGAAAACAGTAGTATCATTAATATTATATCTTCATGTTCGAATGTGGTTTCAGTCGTAAACCAGCTAAGGTCAAGCTTTAAAACACAATATAAGAAAATGACTAACCCTTTTATCTATTGCACCGCATTCGCATTCATATTTTATTGATATCCTTTGATTTAAGAGACGTCAATGGGGCTGAGATGCATCGCACTGATCGCAAAGGACTATGCTTATAATATTTACTTGCAGTAAATGGGTACCTGGTAGGATGAGATGACTGTGCGGCGTAAGACTAAACTCAACACTGACTGTGCGGCGTAAGACTAAACTCAACACTGACTTTGTGTGCGGGAATCGGGTGCCTCACGTTCAGATTGGCGTTAGAAACCCGGAAGGGACTCAACGCCGAAAGGTACTAGAGTTAGTACTTTACTGGGAATGTGTAATCCCAAATATAACATTTACCCACTTTCTATTGCATTGGCCTTGTGTCATTATGGCTCTTGGTCATGAGAAGAGTACTACATTAAATAACACCTGTCAGAGGGGCGACTTGGTCTTACGATAACCCAAGTTTCAGGGCAGTTGCTCAGTAGCTCAGATGTTCCACGGCACATGCTAAATCGCGAGTACTTTCTGTGTATAAAACCTTTACACTGAGGTGGGTAAAGCTTATTCTGTTCCCTTTGTTTCCGGCTAGGGGACTATCAATATGTTATAGAAGTAGTCTGGTTTGCTCTTTGTTCTGAACGTAGACTTTTCCACCAGTAACTCTCCGTGAAAGTGTGCTATTAAACATCCCTCTGGATTTGTGCATCAACTCTCTCATAAACGTGTTTTCTTTCTTATGCAAGTTTTACTTCAGTGAGCAACCATATGGATTTTCAAAGAGTAAGGGACATATTGGATTGAGATGAACTTTTGAAATATATTTAAAATGAATGATGTTTTTCAAACACAATGAGGCACACAGTTTAACACAAATAAAAAACAAAGGATTGTCTTCAATGCAGGATGATCACATTGCAGTTCAATAAATTTTGACTCGACATTTTTATACACACCTTCTTAAGAAAATGATCACGTATCTGTTAACCTACAACGTGGGGCAGGTAGGTACGTTTGTATGCATTATAACGTTTAAACCTCCAACACGCAAGTGGATGGTTGTTCCCTAGCACCGGAACCATATACAAACATATTAACTGACCTCTATTCAGTACACGCCTCCTCTGGGGGACAGAGGGCGGTTCATGTCTGATGGTGCACAATGTCTTTTGACTCCAGATTTGACCCCCACTACATGTAGATACCCTGCACGATGCTGACAAAGAGGTGACACAACCAACGGTTTAGGCACCATTTATTCGTTAAATAGGTTGTTTCCAGAAACAGCGATTTTCGGCTGGCGACTTGAGTCAGTTGTAGATAATTTCAGTTTCATATTCTTCAACGTCTGTTTGCAGTTATTTGTCTAATACCCGGTTAATATCAATCGTGTGAAACATTCTTTATTTGTACTTTTAAGGCCAAGGACGAAATCGTCACCTGGTGGTCCGAAGGATCCAGAGGCAAGGGATTACCATGAAGACCTGCAAAGGCAAATTGGGCCTGATAACCAAGAAGGCAAAAACTGAGGAGGAACATTTTTTGATAACGGTGTTAGCATCTACACCCAAACGTCGCATCTATTGCAATAAAGATGTTGTCTATCTATAAAAATGGTTCCTTATCATCAGACCAGCATCTAAATATCACTTAAAGAAGAAAGGCAAAAACTGACAAAAAATAATTCAGGGGTAAGGGACTCCGCCGAAAGGTCCCCAGAAAGCACAAGGAACCACTCTTGAAGACTCTGGGTGTGGACATGGGCCAAGAAGACCTCCCTAGGCTGCCAGAATTCACTGAACATAGACCTGTGTACGATAGTTTCTTCAATATTGTGCGCACCTCTTTCCCTAAAGTATACAGGTGTGTACATGTAGTGAGGGATTGGTGCAGGGTCATGATATGCCCAGACAATGACTTCGGATTATCTCACATAACGCATGGACATGGACGCATGCGTGTCCATGACATCATTTCTGGCAGAGGCTGTATCCAAGGATCTGCTTGGTTTGCATGTTCCAGGTCCGTTGGTCTTCGTCATGCCGATGCCATGTGATCCTTCTTGTGAAGATGCAGCCTCGATTCAGGTTGCACTAACCGCACACCTGATCAGTGGGGCCCTTTGTCTCTCTTGTGGATGTGTTGGACCTTACCGCGATTATGGTTTGTTGTTTTACGCTGCACTCAGCAATATTCCAGCTATACCGCGGCGTCAAAAAGTCAGCCAGCCTGACCACCTGATGCGGTTACGCCTTTGAAGACAAGCAAAGCAAGGGTTGCTGAAGACCAATTCTAAGCCTGATCTTCATGGGGAGACAAGCATGGGTTGCCGAAGACCAATTCTAACATGGATCTTCATGGGGGAGACAAGCATGGGTTGCTGCAGGCAACTTCTAAGCCTGATCTTCATAGGGGAGACAAGCATGAGTACCTGAAGACCAATTCTAAGCCTGATCTTCATGGGGGAGACAAGCATGGGTTGCTGAAGACCAATTCTAACACGGATCTTCATGGGGGAGACAAGCATGGGTTGCTGAAGGCAAATTCTAAGCCTGATCTTCATAGGGGAGACAAGCATAAGTACCTGAAGACCAATTCTAAGCCTGATCTTCATGGGGGAGACAAGCATGGGTTGCTGAAGGCCAATTCTAAGCCTGATCTTCATAGGGGAGACAAGCATGAGTAGCTGAAGACCAATTCTAAGCCGGATCTTCATGGGGGAGACAAGCATGGGTTGCTGAAGACCAATTCTAACCCGGATCTTCATGGGGGAGACAAGCATGAGTTGCTGAAGGCAAATTCTAAGCCGGATCTTCATGGGGGAGACAAGCATGAGTTGCTGAAGGCCAATTCTAAGCCTGATCTTCATAGGGGAGACAAGCATGAGTTGCTGAAGACCAATTCTAAGCCAGATCTTCATAGGGGAGACAAGCCTGAGTAGGTGAAAACCAATTCTAACCCCGATCTTCATGGATGATATTGCGATGTCCGAGTCAAGTCCATGGCTTTTATATACACTGCCTAAACAACACAATGTTATCCAGTTCTTGCAATATTGTGGTTAAACTACCAACTAACTTTACAGCAGAAATAATATACGTCGAACATTGATGAGTCGAATTGAGTCATTGAGGTTTCGAGACACGACGAAGTGTATTTTCAAGAACTGTGATAAACAATTACTACACTTTGGTAACTTACATACAGTAACAGGATTACCCTTTAGGTAAGGTGTGCTTGCTATTTAGGATAGGTTGTATATGGGGTGTTGTAAGAAAGCATGATTCCTTGGACGGAACTGCTGCAATTAATCACAGTCACTGCAGTCAAATACCTGTGAACTGTTTTATGAGGCAGCTTTAAACTTTGTGCAACAGTGTTTCTACTGTTACAAATTGGGGTTAGCGTCATTAATGAACTTTCAGGACAAAGCTAGGAGGGGGTAGCAGTGTTGGTCCAGTGGTGGCAAAACAGACACTGGTATCAAATCAAAAGTGAAAACAGTTAAAAGATTATCATTTATTATGAAAAACCCCTCACTTCAGACTTTTCTTCAATTCCTTCTTACAAAAAACATGTAAAGGTTTGCAGCATATATAACATGAAAGCTAAAGGCAGATATGAGAGTTAAGAGAACATTTGAAAGGACATGATTGAACAAGCAATTTAGGCCGAAAGTGTAACAAAATGCTGCATATGAAAACATCTAGCTCTATACATTACAGGGTAATGTTGCATGATCCATTTGATAAAACCAAAGAGTAAAAGGTACAGAAATACTGGACTGCAAAAGCAACATGATTAAATTTTTCTATTGATAATAGAACTTGGGACAGACAGATGTTCTTCAATTTATTTTTCATTGATATGAGGGGGGCTGGTAAATAATCAAGTCTGGACCAGTCAATCCAGTGATTGTCATTGTTTGAAATCATCCATGTGAGATTATGATGTCACCCAGGCTGACTCATCCGATACCAACGTGAAACTTGTGATCAATTCCAGTGAGTGAGTGGGTGAATCTGGACCAGACAATCCACTGCTCAACAGTATCAGCATCTATCAACGCAAATGGTATACAATGACATATGTCAACCAAGTCAGCGCGCCTGACCACCCATCAGTTGGCTCTTATGACAAGCATGGGTTACTTAAGATCAATTCTAACCCGGATATTCACGGGTCGGATTGATTCCAAGGCAGACTGGGGATTTATGATAGGAACATACATCAAGTGATGAATAACCAAAATACATTCATCATCTGTACCATACAAATATTTTCTGATAACACATACAAGCATATATCATTGAATCAGCAGACATGTAGTAGCACCAGGAGTACCTTAGAGACTCATTTCATTGTCCATTCTCATATGAATCATCAAATGATTATGACATGGCCCAGAGTAAGCACATCTATTGTAATATCATAATCATCCAACCAGGAAATGTGTCAACAGGATTAGTGCCAGTTGAATTAGGATTAGCAGTATTAAGTACTCCCCTCTGTCTGGGTATTTCATTGGTTGTTGTAGGGCACACCCATTTTGTATCATCAACGAATCCTAATCTTTTTATTGTTTCAATTCTGGATAAATAGTTAGGAAATCGAAATGTTAGTCACTTAGGGTTTAGACTCCCAACACAGGTCAGCTCTAGCCCTCAGCCAAGTGGGTTGTACCGACTCTCTGTGGCCACCTTATGTTATCCTGTTCTTGTAAATATAATTGTAATTAGCTTCTTGTGACTTCGGACTCTTTGCTGAGCCAGTTCCCCACAACCACATCAGCACGCCAGTTAGAAAGGGTTTCACCAGGAACCTCATTGGGACAGTACACTGCCTCCATAATATTTATTCCGAACCTAAGCGATACATCACAAAAACTTTGTACATGCATAGATTGATACAAGTTTCAGTTATGCATAATTACCCTGCTAGATCTCTTCCATGTCTAAATCATGACATGAATATAAATGAGCTGTCAAAGAAGACCTGATAACAATGATACTGAGGAAAGTGTGTTTCCAGTGACACTTCCTCAGGATATCCATTGCAGATGTAGTGAAGATTATCATTGTCATGAGTCTCTTTTCAAAAATAATATTACATTTTCCAACAATCCTAGCAAGCTTTCCTCATATTGCATCCTTGTTCTGTATAACCTTCCCAGATGTATGAGTTTGTATGTATGTTTAGCATGGGGATCAAACTATACAAAACCATACTGGACATGGCACAAAAATACCTTTGGACTAAAAGCATTTTCATAACACTAAATCTATGATGATATTCTACATCATGTGCCTCTGCAGAAACAATAATGTTAAAATGAAAAAAGTTGAAGCCGCTAATTAAGTGTTACTCATAAACACAATCTCATGTGGTCACTAATTCTCATTGGTAATAGGTAATTTACATACTGAGTAATACAAACAATTAGAAACAAACAAATCTGAAACTGAAACTATGATGCTGACACCTATGACTGTTACATGGAGTGAATTATACACTTGGGAGGACACACTCCACCTTGGAAGACACAGCAAGGACAGCACTTTTCCATCAAGCAATACGAACATCGTCCTCATGTCCATGAGTGTCCATAATTCAATGAAATGTCTTTAGCTATGTATTCATCTTTCTCTTCATCATCGACAACTGAAAAACAATGTAAACAAAGAAATCAGAATTACTGCAGACCTTGAGGCCACACCATTCAGGTGCGTAGTTGCTATTTTATCCTCCTCAATGATACAGCAATCTAGGTCTCTATGTGATAATGATATTTAATGTCATATTTCAAGATCAGATCTTGATTGAAATCGGTCATCATGTAGATAATAGATAATAACTCCGTCGGTTCCATATGAATTCCCATGCTTCAAATACTTAATAACACCTGGAAATTGGCCAACACATGATGTTTATCAACATTGTAAACACAAAAGTAAACCAAAATGCCCACATGGGTTTTTGTGTCTGCACTCATTGACATTGAGTACGGGTACAGCAGTGAAGTGTCATCAGCTGACCGTTTCTGCTGGTTCCCATGGTAGTGTCTGGAACTGCTCATTTGTGAAGTCATACCGACTTTACATCACAATATGATTTGAATGATGTCACCACTGCTGACGACGCAACAATACAATGGTATGTGCGATATCTGTATGTGTCAATACGCAGAAAATAGTCTTGCAATTTCCGGGAATTGAATACCATTCGATCATGTTTTTCAACCAATCAGATTAAAGAACACAGTGACTTTTGTTTTACAATGATATTTAATGTCATATTTCAAGATCAGATCTTGACTGACATCTGTCATCATCTAGATAATAGAGCCTTTGTTCCCCACTAAGTTTTTATTCTTGATATGAACCAATTATCTTAAAACAGACCATCATTTAGAGTTAGAAGCATCATCAAAGTCTGAAACCTCTTGTTAATAGGGGTATCATAATGAACCCACCAGTATCATTTTCTTTGAAAAGTTTCAGTTTTTCAAAAACGTTTGGACACTTCTCCATTTCTTTGAAATTTAGTTGTTTCAAACGTTCACTTAATCACCTGAGCTATTCTCAACCAACAACTAAAGTTACTCCTTAAATATACTGCAGAGAACAGGAGAGTATGTGCTTCATGGTAGGTTGTAGAACTCATATTCAGATATTGATGGTAAAGTATGGACACCTTAATACAAATCAGACCTACCTAGTCGTCGGACATCATGTCTGATGCCTTCATCAACACACTTCTCCTGCATCAAGCTGAACAAGACACGGAAACTGGAACATGATACAGCTTCTGATTAGTATAGCCTCACGATCAGCTCAAAGTGGATGTTGTTAGCATACTGGTAATAAATGTAGCATCAAACTGATGAAGACCTCTTTTCAATTCCCAATGCAGGTGCAATCTATGACATTTTGGTGACTGGTGGCTGTTGAAATCTAATAGAATGTGTGCATGGTGAGTGCATGTGTTGGGGATTGGCATGTTGTTTTTGTTGCTGACAGATTATCTCTTTTAACTCTTCAATATAGTATACAGTTTCATTCTCTGAAAATAAATCTGTGTTTATGACATAATTTGATCAACTTGAGGCCAAAATTTCCAAATTTATGTCAAACAAATTATTGTTTTGAAAAGAAAATAACAAAGAAATCCCAGTAATTCCCAAATAACCAATCTCTAAGACCCATTTAAAAATATTTAAAATTATCATAACAAATATAACTATTAGTGAATCAGCTTGACTTTGGTCAGAAGAGAAGAATACTACATATTATTCATAGAGCAGCTCTTCGCTATCTCACCTTCTCCCATGCTTCTGTAATATACAAGATCCTTTGGGTTTTCGAATGAACTCCCTGGTGAGTTTGTCATTATTCTCCCTGTCATACAGCCTCCACTGACCAGGGTCATCAAGCCACTGCCACAGCGTGTGAGGTTTTTCAGGAGTTGGCATAACAGGTGCAGGTTCTTTAACAAAGCAATAACTTTCATTATCCAGCCTCATGTAAGAATGTCGAGTTTTGATTGGTTCACGTGACTCTGATAAAAGACGATGTACACCCGTCACGATCCGCGAGCAGGGAGTACAAAAGTCATATTATCCCGCCACACCTCGGTGACCACGTGAAGTGAGAAAAGCATGCATCGCCAAGCCTTTAGTAACGTGCGCTGCATTGAGGTCAATCGATCAGCTGGTGTCAACAAGTCGATTCGATGCGTATTGTTTTCCTTTGATTTAGTAAAAACATTCGGCTAGATAAATGCGTCATCACATAGTGTCAATGGAAATACGGGGTTTTATCAGTCCCTCGTAAGGTTGTATTCAAAACATACAAACCCTACTCGGGACTGATAAAACCCCCGTATTTCCCTCGACACGATGTGATAACTTATATCATTCAACAGCCCTAACACCTACCCAACATGCTCTGAAGCCCATCCTTGTTAGATTAAATACGTTATGACTGTGAAAACTCTACTGACATTCAATTTGTGATGTGCTTTACATGTTTATAAGTGCTAAAAACAGAAATTTGTATTGAACCTTGACCCATTTATTGAGCACATATGCACCTTATGGATGACAACTTCTTGTTTACTGCACAGAGTGATGTTTCGAGCTACATCTATGTTCGATGTAGATTCTTACACCAATGTCAAGCTAAACTTTTATCTACATAGAAACGTCACTCTATTCAATAAACAAGAAGCTGTCATCCATTAAGGTGTATGTTTCATTTTTGTCTCCAGTAAGTTACTGACCCTTCAATGTACATTTGATACAACAAAATTCAATTACACATTAGTTAATGGAAGTATATTTGTTAATCAAAGACACAACTTGGTGCACCACAACAGCAATCGAACATAATGTCAAATTATGATAATGATATGATTATACTAATCTTTGCTAACTTGGTGAGGAAGCTAAAAAAAGATGTCCACTAATGAAATAAGACAAAGAAAAGCAATGATCACCTTTGTGATCATCCTTCAGAGGAATAGCGCTTGCTGACAACACATTCTGACTGCCGGTATCTGATGGGGCTTCAGAGGAACTGGAATTACACAAAACATAAGATGTATCTCGATTGGATAAAAACAATCATGCATCATTTAATGATTGTTTTCCTCTTTTGAGCATTTATCAAAGGATAACAAATTGTATTAAGTTGTAGTGTTCTGTTACGATCATACTAAATTTTGGTTATTCTTCAATGGATTAAAAACAATCTGTAAATTTGAACAACAAAATTCATCATCATAACTCTCCATCTCCCAACTTTAAGAAGTTAACAATCAGTACCCACCCATCGTGTAAGGAATCAAAGCTAAGCAAGACGCATCCAGCAAGTTAAACAAACTCACCATATCTCCAGTTCAAACTTTCCCTCTTGAGTGATATACCTGCAGGGCTGAATTTTGCCGTTTTCCCATCTCACCTGCAATGTAGTCACATCAACATTCCTGAACTTGAAAGAATATTATCTTTACTTTTCATGATTTATACATAATAAGTTTTGTTTCAGATTATCTCCATGTTGAATGCATTTTCGAAGCATCATTGAGGGAGTGAGTGAGTTTAGTTTTACGCCACACTCAGCAATATTCAAGCTATATGGTGGCAGTCTGTTAATAATTGGTTCTGGACCAGACAATCCAGTGATCAACAGCACGAGCATGATCTATGTAATTGGGATATGATGACATGTGTCAACCAACTCAGCGAGCCTGACCACCAGATCCCGTAAGTCGCCTCTTACGACAAGCATGGGTTACTGAAGTTCAATTCTAACCTGGATCTTCAGGGGTATTGAAACATCAGTAACACTAGAGATGTACATGTACTTATTTGCATTTTAGACTGTTTAGAATAAATCATTCCCACCAGTCATAGTTAGTAAGTAGTACAAACTCAGGAAAGTGTTTGCAGTACCACAATTACTGGCTTTAATTTGTAGTTATGCACAAAGATACTATTCAGAAAATTATTTCTGTTCTGTATTATTAAAAATACATAATGGATGTGTGAAGTTGTGTTTGGTAAACATGGCCAGGTACAACATCATTGTGTTAATTGTAGCTATGATGAATGTTTGTAGATATTTCAGTTAAAGTAGGATAGAAAAGATGACAAACCTTCACACTGTTGTCCTTCCTTTTCCTGATGACCATACCAGTGTTACCTGGTCCACCATCCTCATCCTGATACGGCCAGTCAGCACCTGGACACATAGTACAATACTTCTCATACAATGATAACAATAATGTGTCCATTTATAGAGCACCAAACTCCACACTAGGTATGCTCATAGTGCTAGCAATGAATAGCACAGCACAACATGACCCCGCATAACCCAAGCTGACTGGCATGTTAGGTGCTAGAAGGCTATAGGCACATTACTCATCCCACTGGGTACCCACTTTCTGCTGGGTGAACAGAGGCAATTTTGAACAAACACACTTGCCTAAGGTGAGACCACATGTATCACATGTGCTTTGTTGTGGGGCAGGACTGAAGTCCTAGAAACTCTCAGGAGTCAAGCTGCCAAACATAGTCACCCATCCAAGGACTCTCCCCGCCCAATGTTGCTTAGCTTTACCTTATTTGTGACCTGAGCTCTATGCACAGGACCACACACAGCCTTAAGGCAGTTACTCTACAAATACTGGATGGCATTACTGGGAAAACTTGCTGACAACATGCTGGTTATAACTAGACTGCATGCCAGACAGTCAAAATGGTTGAAGAATTCTTCATGATAAGGTGGTACACATAAAACATATGGCCTTACACCAGACACATATATAACATGATTAACAAACAGCGTTCTTCATGATCAGGCGGCATAAGTAAATACAGGAATAAATAGTATGTAGCTTACCTCTTTTAACCCGACATCCAATCTCAATCAGTTCATCCTCCTTGAGTGTTCTTGGTTTGTCAACCTCCACACATATGTCATACTTGTGTTGACAGCCAAATCTGTAGCGACACACAGTGCTGTTCAAGTCCCAGAGAACCCAGATAAGCTCTGAATGGAAAGAAGACTTAATCTGAAAACATGTTCTTCTTCAACATCCAGAAGAAGAAAACCCTTTGTGGTATGATACTTCAACAAGTACTTATGTACTTACAATTACCAGTACTGTTGGATGAACTTGAGCAAACAGAAGAACAAGTGGCCTCTAAATAATATTACCCAGTACATACCATCACAAATGTCCTGAGCAATAAGACAGCATGCTTACTGCAATTTCATACCACTTTCCTTGACATTAGTTATTTCTAATAATGCTACTTCCTGTCACATTAGATAATTTCTGATTGGTCAGTTGTCAATGTGAAATCACAGTGACAAAATGACAGCATCACAAAAAAATTAGCATGTTTGAAATATACTGACAAAGACTACTTGTTTAGGGTCTTATCTAACACCGCCTTTGTGCTTTACACTGATTGTTATAATCATCTGCTGCATAGGCTTCAGAACTGTTACATTCCTTAGGATCTTTATGTCATGAAGATTGTAATAATTTACTATTAGAGCAGCTTTCATACAGTGAGACCAATGAAGAATAGAACAGCCTTCCATACTACAACTACAGTACCATGGCACAGGTGTCAGATCTACACTCATACAAAGGATACTGTTATTTTACAATAAACAGTCTCAAAGCAATATAATTATCTACCTTGTCATGAAAAGATCTATGAGAAAAGAGGTCACAATATCTAGTTTGCTAATACATTGATAGATGCATGGCAACTTTTATTAAGTCCAAAGACAAATCCAACCAGGAGACATGTCATCAATATCCCCTGCCACAGTGTTCTGTTCCTATTTGCTTCCTGGTTTTTAACTCCACCATGACATTCATGTCCTGAAAACACATACCACATTTAGTTTCCCTATCCCTCAACGGTTACTGAGAAAATCTGTTCCCAATGGGGATACCGTGCACTAAGTCAAGAAACGCATGACAAAGGCCATAACTCTGTAACAAATTGTAACACGGTTTCCGTTTTCAAACTCCATCAGAGAATGTCTGTACCCATCATCTCAGACGGACTGACGGACAGATAGACGAAGCTCAAACCTGTTTCCCCCTCCCACTTTGGGCCAGGGGATAATAAATGGCGAAAAAGGGCAAAGGTAAACCTTCTGATGTACAGTCTGCACCAGGACATCCATTTGTCTACTTGACTGTTAAAAAGCCATTTGATATATTAATTTCCCTTTAAAGTAACTATTTCAAGTAGGTATGCCAATATATAACCCATTCACAGGAAGTGAAGGTACAAAATCAGGAGTACATTCAACTGAGAACAATAGCAACAAGACAAGACGTCTTACTCACTGTCATCATCAGCATGGTTGATAATTGTTCCTGGTCCATTTAAATCCTGGTTCTGGTACTTCCAGTCAGGACCTCTGATAACCCTTGACCCAAGGGGAGGCAGGTGCTTGAGCTCCTTAATGTTGTCATATCCTTGAGGGTCATCATCAACACTACTTTCCTCCTTGGACTCCAGCTTCTCCTTCACCTTCTGGATGATGTGATTCTGTTGATATAACCATGGTGTTGACCTGAGCTACTCTACATATGCAATCAACTGACAAAGGTGCACCCCTTCACAATAATAGACCCAGCCAGTTGTGACACGGTCACGCAATGCATTAGTATTCATTTGATCAGGTCAAGCTGTTGCAGATATAACCTGGGTTTCATGGTATAATAGTGTACTAGAGTTGTAGATATAACCAGGGTCATGGTATAATAGTACACTTGAGTTGTAAATATAACCAGGGTCATGGTATAATAAGGTACTAGGGTTGTAGATATAACCAGGGTCGTGGTATAATAGTAGACTAGAGTTGTAGATATAACCAGGGTCATGATATAATTGTGTACTAGTGTTGTAGATATAACCAGGGTCATGGTATAATTGTGTACTAGTGTTGTAGATATAACCAGGGTCATGGTATAATTGTGTACTAGTGTTATAGATATAACCATCGCCATGGTATAATTGTGTACTAGTGTTGTAGATATAACCAGGGTCATGGTATAATTGTGTACTAGTGTTGTAGATATAACCAGGGTCATGGTATAATTGTGTACTAGTGTTGTAGATATAACCAGGGTCATGGTATAATTGTGTACTAGTGTTGTAGATATAACCAGGGTCATGGTATAATTGTGTACTAGTGTTGTAGATATAACCATCGCCATGGTATAATTGTGTACTAGTGTTGTAGATATAACCAGGGTCATGGTATAATTGTGTACTAGTGTTGTAGATATAACCAGGGTCATGGTATAATTGTGTACTAGTGTTGTAGATATAACCATCGCCATGGTATAATTGTGTACTAGTGTTGTAGATATAACCATCGCCATGGTATAATTGTGTACTAGTGTTGTAGATATAACCATCGCCATGGTATAATTGTGTACTAGTGTTGTAGATATAACCAGGGTCATGGTATAATTGTGTACTAGTGTTGTAGATATAACCATCGTCATGGTATAATAGTGAACTAGTGCTGTAGATATAACCAGGGTCATGGTATAATTGTGTACTAGTGTTGTAGATATAACCAGGGTCATGGTATAATTGTGTACTAGAGTTGTAGATATAACCATCGCCATGGTATAATTGTGTACTAGTGTTGTAGATATAACCATCGCCATGGTATAATTGTGTACTAGTGTTGTAGATATAACCAGGGTCATGGTATAATAGTGTACTAGTGTTGTAGATATAACCATCGCCATGGTATAATTGTGTACTAGTGTTGTAGATATAACCATCGCCATGGTATAATTGTGTACTAGTGTTGTAGATATAACCATCGTCATGGTATAATAGTGTACTAGTGTTGTAGATATAACCAGGGTCATGGTATAATTGTGTACTAGTGTTGTAGATATAACCAGGGTCATGGTATAATTGTGTACTAGAGTTGTAGATATAACCATCGCCATGGTATAATTGTGTACTAGTGTTGTAGATATAACCATCGCCATGGTATAATTGTGTACTAGTGTTGTAGATATAACCAGGGTCATGGTATAAAAGTGTACTAGTGTTGTAGATATAACCATCGCCATGGTATAATTGTGTACTAGTGTTGTAGATATAACCATCGCCATGGTATAATTGTGTACTAGTGTTGTAGATATAACCAGGGTCATGGTATAATTGTGTACTAGAGTTGTAGATATAACCATCGCCATGGTATAATTGTGTACTAGTGTTGTAGATATAACCAGGGTCATGGTATAATTGTGTACTAGTGTTGTAGATATAACCAGGGTCATGGTATAATAGTGTACTAGTGTTGTAGATATAACCATCGCCATGGTATAATTGTGTACTAGTGTTGTAGATATAACCAGGGTCATGGTATAATTGTGTACTAGTGTTGTAGATATAACCAGGGTCATGGTATAATAGTGTACTAGTGTTGTAGATATAACCAGGGTCATGGTATAATAGTGTACTAGTGCTGTAGATATAACCAGGGTCATGGTATAATTGTGTACTAGTGTTGTAGATATAACCATCGTCATGGTATAATTGTGTACTAGTGTTGTAGATATAACCATCGTCATGGTATAATTGTGTACTAGTGCTGTAGATATAACCAGGGTCATGGTATAATAGTGTACTAGTGCCATGGTATAAATTGTGTACTAGTGTTGTAGATATAACCATCGTCATGGTATAATAGTGTACTAGTGTTGTAGATATAACCAGGGTCATGGTATAATTGTGTACTAGTGTTGTAGATATAACCATCGCCATGGTATGGTATAATTTGTGTACTAGTGTTGTAGATATAACCAGGGTCATGGTATAATAGTGTACTAGTGTTGTAGATATAACCAGGGTCATGGTATAATTGTGTACTAGTGTTGTAGATATAACCAGGGTCATGGTATAATTGTGTACTAGTGTTGTAGATATAACCATCGCCATGGTATAATAGTGTACTAGTGTTGTACATATAACCAGGGTCATGGTATAATTGTGTACTAGTGTTGTAGATATAACCAGGGTCATGGTATAAAAGTGTACTAGTGTTGTAGATATAACCAGGGTCATGGTATAATTGTGTACTAGTGTTGTAGATATAACCATCGTCATGGTATAATAGTGTACTAGTGTTGTAGATATAACCAGGGTCATGGTATAATAGTGTACTAGTGTTGTAGATATAACCAGGGTCATGGTATAATAGTGTACTAGTGCTGTAGATATAACCATCGCCATGGTATAATAGTGTACTAGTGCTGTAGATATAACCAGGGTCATGGTATAATAGTGTACTAGTGTACTAGATATAACCATCGTCATGGTATAATAGTGTACTACTGTAGATATAACCAGGGTCATGGTATAATAGTGTACTAGTGTTGTAGATATAACCAGGGTCATGGTATATAATAGTGTACCTAGATAGTGTACTAGTGTTGTAGATATAACCAGGGTCATGGTATAATAGTGTACTAGTGCTGTAGATATAACCAGGGTCATGGTATAATAGTGTACTAGTGCTGTAGATATAACCAGGGTCATGGTATAATTGTGTACTAGTGTTGTAGATATAACCATCGCCATGGTATAATAGTGTACTAGTGTTGTGGTCATGGTATAATAGTGTACTAGTGTTGTAGATATAACCATCGCCATGGTATAATTGTGTACTAGTGTTGTAGATATAACCAGGGTCATGGTATAATTGTGTACTAGTGTTGTAGATATAACCAGGGTCATGGTATAATTGTGTACTAGAGTTGTAGATATAACCATCGCCATGGTATAATTGTGTACTAGTGTTGTAGATATAACCATCGCCATGGTATAATAGTGTACTAGTGCTGTAGATATAACCAGGGTCATGGTATAATAGTGTACTAGAGTTGTAGATATAACCAGGGTCATGGTATAATAGTGTACTAGTGTTGTAGATATAACCAGGGTCATGGTATAATTGTGTACTAGTATGGCTATCACCCTCCGTGGACAGTAACACCCTCTATTTGGAAGGATTTGGTACTCCAGTTCGATTAGACAGAGATTCAGATGCTACAGGGAAATCTATTGGACTGACTGACTGAGTTTAGTTTTACTCCGCTTTTAGCAATATTCCAGCAATATCACGGCGGGGGACCCGGGTCTTCGGCGTGACGAGCCAACGCTTTAACCACTAGGCTACCCCACCGCCCCGGAAATCTATTGGAGGGGGTGTATGTATGTATATAAATGAAAAGTGGTGTCGTAACTATCTTGTGAGAGAAAGGATATGCTCACCAAACATCGAACTTCTATCAGTGTTGGCGTACTTATCTACCTCGTGAATTCGGTCAGATCTTTGCTATGAGTGTCTACATACCACCCAGTGCCGATAACAAACAAGCAGCTGATGTAGTTCATAATCATGTTCAATCCCTAGAGCTGATTTGTCCTGATGCCCCAAAATTCATACTGGGAGATTTTAATGGATGTACCCTGAAGTCTGTGCTCCCCACCTACAATCAGTATGTAACATGTTGTACATGGAAAGACAAGATCCTTGACTTGTGTTATGGTAACATCAAAGAACGCCTACAAATCATATAGTAAACCACTACTAGGAGCTTTGGATCATAATTCTGTGTATTTGCTGCCCACATATCATCAAAAGTTAAAAACAGAGAAGGCTATTGTTAAGACTGTCAAATCATGGAACAGAGAATCTATTGAAACCCTACAAGGATGTTTTGCGTGTACAGATTGGGACATGTTCTATGATGCAGAACAAACATTAGAAGGAAAGTGTGACGTCATTACGGATCATATAAATTTTTGGGTCAACAACATAATACCAGAAAAAGAAATCAAAATTTTCCCAAACAACAAGCCCTGGATCACAAAAGAAATGAAATTTTTATTAAACGAAAAGAAATGAGCATACATGAAGAAAGATAGAATAAAACTCAAATGCATACAGAAGGACATCAATCTTAAAGCTCGTGAGTGTAAACTAGCGTACAAAGAGAAAGTTGAGAGACAGTTTCACCAAAGCAATCTGCAACAAGCCTGGCAAGGCGTGAACACGATGATTGGCAAGAGCAGGCGACGACAGACAACCAACGCCGGGGATAATAAAACCTTTGCTGAGGACCTCAACACTTTCTACAGCCGCTTTGATTGTCACGACTTTACCGATGAGAGAGCTCAAGTTAGTGAAGCCGTACAGGATAGTGAAAGTCGTATCCATATATCAGAAGCTGACGTCATCCAAGCTTCTCCAGAATTAACATCAGAAAAGCAAAAGGACCTGACAACCTTGACGGCATTGTGTTGAAGGAGTGCAGACTTCAACTGTGCACAGTTTTCACTAGATTGTTTCAATTCCCAGTGAATACACACATTATGCCTTCGGTCCATAAAACATCAGAAATTGTACCAGTTCCTAAAAAGACACAACCTAAAGAACTCAACGGCTACAGGCCAGTTGCTCTCACATCTATAGCAATGAAGTGGCTGGAACGCATCTTGTTGAGACATCT